TTTGAGTAAAGTGAAAAACGTACACCTGAGATTCAAAGGACACTCTTTCTATACGAAATGCGCACATGTCACAGGCAGAGACACGTTTTGCAAGCAGTTTAATATTAACGTATAAAACTTATTTAGCGTTTTATTTATGGTACTGTATTAGTATGGCACCCTGTAGAAAGGTTTAAGAACTTTCAAAACGATACGTACAGACGCGGTTGTGTCTCCTGACTCTGGGTATCCAGAGCAGAGGCTGGACAAGTCCTGAAGGAAGAAGCAGCTTGGTTGACCGACAGAGGCAGGACAAGCTCTCTCCACGGTGTCACAGACGCTCACCTCACGCCGTAACACGTCAAGCTGGAGAAGGTCGTCACGTCGGAGATGAAGACACATGTCACTCCAGGTATGCCCATGTTCAAATATGCGCCATACTCCCCAGTGGTGAAAATTCAGGTCTCCGCTTCATCATCAAATATGCGTAAACTCCAAAATTCTAACTCACCACAATGTGTTGCATTAGTGTTAGTTTATACAGTGCTAATGACTGTACTAAGTGCAGACACTTTGGTGTGTGGGTGTATCAATCTCCTATTATCATGTTCATTTGGAAAATGTCTCTCCTCTCTGTATGCAGCTGTGAGTCGTAGTCTGGGCAGTGTGCAGGACAACTGACAGCTACGGTGCAGTCAGCTACCGACACAGCTTCAAAGACGGCATCGCCAGCATTCTCACACCAAGGTCCCCTTTCACTCTCAGATTATATTTCTGTGGCGAACTCAAGGCACAAACATTCACACAGGCACGTGGTTGCTTCAAAAAACAGTTGCCACAACTTAAGTATTAGTACTGTACGATGGGCCAGGCATTTCTGGCAACCTGTTGCCTTGGCCCTATCATACCATACTTGTGGAGAGCGAGTTGCCTCAAGCACCGGTATGTGCCCTTGTTAAATGTGTATTTCTCTAGGGTTTACCAGAGGGCTGTTGGGACCGCTGTTGGGGGCTCTATTAGGAGTACATCCAGGGGAAGTACGACAGACCTTTCGAAAGTGTCCTCCGGCTTCGACGAGCAGTCAGAAAATGTTCAGACAAGTTGACGAGGCATTTAGGAGAGGCATTGCCGAATGTGAGTTTCTGCTCCCTTTCTTTCTTTCCTCCCCTTCTCCCTCTTTCCTCCCCTTCTCCCTCTTTTCTCCCCTTCTCCCTCTTTCGTTTGCAAAACCCTTCATTGTGCTGTACAAATACTAAAAATGAGAAGTAAAACACAAGTACAGGGCTCAAATGTACGGCATTCACCCTCTTTCACTCTCACTCTCTCTCTCCTCTCTTTGCTTCTCATCCTCTCCCTCCTGCCCAGACCTGTCCCAGCTGCAGCAACAATTCCACCAGCTGAGCGAGCCGGCCCTCCAGCACCTGGCCTCCTCCTACCACTCCCTCCACTCCCTCCTCACCTCCCCCGACTCTCCGCTCGTGACCAGCCTTCAGAGGGAGATCAGGACTACCATGCAGAGGTTTTTTCTCCCTCCAAAATTTTGTCTTTTCCCGTATCTCGCTCTAAACTTTCGTCTTTTGTTCCAACTGTTCATTTTCCCTCTCAGTGTGCTGCAGGGAGTGGGTGAGAGTGTGAGGGGTGTGGTCAGGGAGGAAATTGACTCCGCCCTCCAGAAACACGCCCACTCCATCAGCCCTGAGGCCCGTGCCATGGAAGAGAGAGCTCGTAAAGAAGTGAGTCTCTCTCCCTCCTTCTCTTTCTTACCACGCGTGCATCCATATATAACGGAACGCAAGCTCTCAGATTATAATGCGCAAGATGGAAGCTTTTGCAGGTGGAAATTTGCGCCAGAGAGCCAGCCCGCCACCTGCAGAAGTTCCCTGTGTATATATAATTTATCAACTTCTCTACTGCAAGTTTTCAGTTTGATGTCCATACTGCCCGCATGCAGCTACTGTTGTGTCCACTTTACCGCCTTGATAACCTGCATTACTAAAGAGTTTAGAATTGTGGTGTCGAGTCAAGTTTCGGAATATCAGCTTCTGTCATATTGTCGCATTCTCCTCAATTCTAACGTGTCACACACACACACACACACACAGGAGATTCAGCGCCTGGTGCAGTCTCAGGAGTTGAACCGAGCCTTCGAGACGGCTCTCTCGACCTCCGACCTCTCCCTCGTCCTCTACCTGTGCCAGCAGGTGACCCCCGAGGACGTATTTGACAAGACCCCCTGCCCCCTCTCCCAGCCCGTCCTCCTCTCCCTCGTCCAGCAGCTCTCCGTGGACCTCTCTGAACACGTGGACCTCAAGCTAAGGTCAGGGGGACATCATTACGACTGTTCTGTATAGTTTGAATGTCGTCTACGTACATATATATGTGATTTTGCCCCTACTGCCACATTAGGAAGTTGGGAGCTGTGTTTACTGTTTGAGGGATAATGCTAGAACACTCAGTTTTTGACGACATAATGCGAGCAGTTCAGAATGACGTTCAATTTTTCCGCGTGTGTTAGGAATCTTGTGAATCAGTGCATGCAGTGCCTAAACCCCTAGTCACATGACCATGGTATATACAGTACAAGGAACATTAGCTGTGTGTTTGTGTGTTCAGGTTTCTGGAGGCCTCGGTTCTGGGGCTGGACGTAAACAATGACATCACCAAGAGTCACAGACCCAAGTCTGCGAACTCTGACCAGCAGCTAGGCGGGCGGAGCAGGCCAATCGCTCCGTCCCCAACTCTGCGGCTCTCCTCCGCTCTGTGAGGAGGCTGAGAATGGTGACCGAGAGTCTGTGCCCGCCAATTAACTAGCCCAGCAAGTACAATTCCCTACTCCACATTATTCCAAAGTCATATTTACTGCGAGAAAGCAAAACTGCCAAATATCCAAATTCATTTCTGTATATTAAAACGGGCATTCACATCCTTTACATGTGTTATGTTTTGTTCAGCCAAGTATTCGCTGCATTTAACTTTTCTTGACAAAATGATTTTGTGTGTGTATATTCATTTGCTGTTAGCAGAGAAATGCACATTTTTGGAATGTCATTTGTTGTGCAGCCACTATTATAGGTGCATTTAACCATTTTCATGATTCACAAATTTTCTGTACATGTTAACATAATTATTCAGACAAACATAATGATGTGATACTATTCACGTCGGCGCGAGTCAAAGCAAAGCAGTGTAGAATGCGTGTGTTGTCAGGTAGAGCACCTCCATAAGCAGTCTCCGTCATCTCCGCGCGCGCGACGCGCTCTCCTTCCTCCCTCTCCTCTTCACTCGCTCTCTCTATTTTATCTCCTTGGCTCTCGACCGTCTCCTCAATCACTGGTTGTTTCTGTTTTGTGTTCTCCCTATCCTCGCCAGACGTAGTCCCTCCTCCAAACAGCTCTGACTTCATATCAGCAAACCGTCCTGAACCGGCACTGCTAACAGCTGTGACTGTTGACGCTGACGGTGGTGGTGACTTGGTAGAGGAGGGTCCAGTAGAGGAGGAGGAAGAGGAGGGTTTAGAAGTGGAGGCAGTGTGGGTGGGAGATGAGTATTCGAATTTTTTCTTCAGATCCAGTGCGAGTTTTGCAACCTGTGGGGAGACAGTGCAGGTATGGGTGAAGGGGAGCTAGTTTCATTCAGACTGCTACACAGGTGCTGGCATAAGAAGATGCACGTGTGGGGAGACAGTGCAGGTATGGGTGAAGGGGAGCTAGTTTCATTCAGACTGCTACACAGGTGCTGGCATAAGAAGATGCACGTGTGGGGAGACAGTGCAGGTATGGGTGAAGGGGAGCTAGTTTCATTCAGACTGCTACACAGGTGCTGGCATAAGAAGATGCAACCTGTGGGGAGACAGTGCAGGTATGGGTGAAGGGGAGCTAGTTTCATTCAGACTGCTACACAGGTGCTGGCATAAGAAGATGCAACCTGTGGGGAGACAGTGCAGGTATGGGTGAAGGGGAGCTAGTTTCATTCAGACTGCTACACAGGTGCTGGCATAAGAAGATGCAACCTGTGGGGAGACAGTGCAGGTATGGGTGAAGGGGAGCTAGTTTCATTCAGACTGCTACACAGGTGCTGGCATAAGAAGATGCACGTGTGCGCTTTAAGTTTTGGTGTCAGGTGCATTATAATTATACTACCATACATTTTGTACACCACGCACACAAATAACCTTCAGCATGAACATGCAGAGGAAGTGTTACCGTAGCTTCTCTGTCGTGCCTAAAAACCAAAACCAACGGTATGTAGGGCTTTCTCATAGGATTATCTTTGCTAGAGAGAAAGAGAGGAAAGGAGGGATAGAGGTTCTCACGTCGGTCTCCATGGACCTGAAGACCACGCCCCCACAGGCCTCCACAACAGCATCTCCATCCCTCTCCTGGAAGGCATCGCACAACCTCTCCATGGCCGGCCGCTCATCGCTCTCCAGGAACCCTGGAATCCTGACACACAAACACACACACACACACACACATCTCACAGTGTATTAGAGGCTTCTAGTATTACGAGTCACTGAAGCGAACCAATCTAGTAATTGAGTGGCGCGGTTTGTATTGAAATGTGTCCACTCACCAAAAAGTGCTGCGTTCGTTCTAACATGTTTCTGCTAATGCATTCGAGAGCACATGAGCGACTTACTTTGCAGCATCGACAACAGTGTCATTGGCGGCCACAGTGTCGTCGCGGTGGAGATGAAGAACCAACTCTATGGCAGCCACCTGCAGACAGAGAGAGGGAGGGAGGGGAGCTCTCTTAGGGAGTCAGTTAGAGAAGGGAGAGAGGGAAGAAGAGGAGAGAGTGAGGAGGTCTAACTAACATTCCAGAGCTGTTTGTGCATGTTCAGTTCCTCATACAGAGCCCTCAGCTTCTCCAGAACTTCTTTCAACTTGTCCAGACTTTGAGAGCGAAAGAGGTCATCATGAAACCATACAGTAGTGATATTCTACTCAGCTATCAAGGGGTTCACTTTGAACTAACAGATTGGATGCAGAAAACAACTATTGGCTATTGAGGACGGCTCTCTCATGCCTCTAAGTGAGCAATTTGGCTTGACTCACTCCCTTGCTCTGGCGGCCATATTGACGGCATTCCTGGTGGCCTTAGTGGCCTCTCTCTGCTTGTCCTCCACCAAATGGAGCTCTGCACACGCCAGGTGGTAGTCGACGGCCCTCAGCGGGTTCACGGGGTCAACGAGCTTGGCTGCCTTGGTTAGCACCTAGTAGAATGCATTTGCCTATATCTTAATTTTTCATGGACGCACATTACAACACCACTCAATAGGGAGAGAGAGAAGGAGAGGAACCGCTTCCTCCATTGGCATGCAGACGCACACGACTCGACGGTTTGTCTTTTCTTTTCTCATTAAGTATTCATAAGTGCATAATGTGTTCACAGTAAAGCTATTTTGTCATTTCAACTACACTAACTACGCACACACCTGCCCGGCAGTGTCTCCATGCCCACTCTCATGGTAATAGTGACTGGCAGTCTCCAGCAACATGGCCGCCTGCTCCATCTGCTTCATCTCCTGCAGTAGTATGTACATTAATAGTGGGAGGGGGGAAATGTGTGATTTGGTCACAGAGAAATGTTCTGCAGATTGTCATACAAATGGCGAACAATTGGTTGGTTCTGTGCTCTTCCTCTATAGTGCCTTACTTCACACCAGTCAAAATACCACTGTTTGTACCCAAAGTGTGTAGGTAAAACACACAACCTTAGCAACGTGTGCAGCTTGCTCCATAGATCTCCCGGCCTGAAATGAACTAGGAAAAACGGACAGTCAAGAAAAATAAACCAAAGTTAAGTTTTGTCAGTTAGCAATGTATCTTGGTGCATAGAACGGATACCCAGCGTTCTTGTAGTGGGCCTCGGCAGCTCTCTCGTAGGCCTGTCTGGCCTTGTCATAGGCCTTGCCATTCCTGTAGCACAGAGCTATGGAAGGAAGGAGCACAATATACTAGTGGCGTTGACTGCCTAAGGATTTGACATGAGGTCTTGCCTGCTTTGTCGAAAGCATGAGCTGCTCCTGCATAGTCAGCACTCCACTTCAGCCAGTTTGTCTTCAAACTGTAAGTAGAGATATACAACAGTGGGACAGAGAGCCTGAAAAACAATTTGCTGATTTTCCTGCAGTCTGGGACCGAGCTGCCAATTTCTTACCACTTCTCTGCCTCGATTATGAGCTTGTCTCCCTCTCTGACCTTAGCCTCGCCACCAGTAGCCATGTTCTACTGCTGCAGCTTCTTGCAAAGCACAAGTACTAGTAAGCCAAAAAGAAGCGGTCCACCCTAAAGACTGTTCTAATTTAACGACAGTAGGCGTGGCTTGCAGGTTTCAATTTTACTGTGTAATAAGGTATCCCAAATTGAGCACGCGGCCGAGGGGATGGTCTACTAGCTGGCGGGCCTCCCTCGAGCTCTGTCCTTGTTTTTGCTGCCGTCCCGACTTCCTCCAAGTGTCACCTCCCTCTCCCACCACATCTTCCTTCTCCGTGGAGAAAAAATAGCGCCTGGAGTGGTGAGTATACCGCATGACATCCCATATTTCACGGAGACCCACCGCCTTTCCCTAAAATTATTCTATAGACGTCTTTTCCCCCTCCTTACTTGTATTGATATGTCACACACTGACCCATTTCTTTCCCTGCTGTCTACTCCATTTGCCTCCATACTGTAGAGAGCTCTAGCCATGGCAGCAAGTGGTGTGTGGGCTAGAGTGTATGCAGACGCCAACACACACAAGCCCAGGGACTACTGGGACTATGAGGCCCATCCCATTGAGTGGGGGTAAGCCCCGCGTATTACCTGTCATCTCGTTGCCAATCGAGGGACACCAAATAGGACCTGTCCATTTGGAGCCAGGCATACGATCTGAACATCAACTAAGGGACGCTAATTTTAGCCGTGAAGTGTTGGCAGTGTTGGTTTATTGTTTGCGTCGGGTGCAGTGTCACGGTAGAATTTGACCAGACTTGGCTGGTTTCAGTCAGACAACAGCAGAGAGCGCTAGGGCTGAGGTTATGTGTGGCCCTTATGTGATGTACAGGTTATACAGGGCACGCTAGGCAATCAATATGTCAACATCTTGCATCACAACAGGAGCCTTGTACTAACATGGGGGTGTGTATATCCATTGGCTGATTGTCACACTTGAGAAGTACTGTTTGTTTGGCTGAATGTTACACGATGTCATTGGCTGGTCACATGACAGCTAATTCATATCCAAACACTCCACCCAAGCGCCAGGGTCTGGTACCCGACAATTGAGCAGTTTCTTGGTTGTGCTGAACTGGCTCTTGTTGTCATTGTGTAATCACACGAATGTTAGTTTGGATATATGCTCGTGCACAGAGCTTTGTCTCACGCTTACGTAATGTTATGCGATTTCGTTGGCTTACTCGAAACTAAGACTAGCTTATTCAGCAAAACTAAAAGTAACTAAATTGTCACCTGACCCTTTTTCCTCTCTTGAGGGTGGGTTCTGGGTACCAAACACGAAAGCACTACGTAACTAAAGAGTGGCCAGAGTACATACGTACGTTAGCAAGGAGGGAGAGAGAAAGAACCAACTTATGTCTGTCGGGAATCGAAATCAGGCATCATGACCGGAAGTCCAGTGCACTAGACACTGAGCTACGACTCCCAAAACCTGGTCTTCCCACCTAAGCACTATTTCACCCCCCAAGAAATACCACATATTTGTACTGATCTCCAGGAACCAGGACAACTATCAGATAGTACGGAAGCTGGGTCGAGGCAAGTACAGCGAGGTCTTCGAGGCCATGAACGTGGGTGCTGGTGAGAAATGTGTCATCAAAATCCTCAAGGTACTATATACCATATCAATAGCACAGCTACTGTCTGTTACTAGTCTCTTATGGTGACTACAACTTAGTATTTGAAGTTGGATTTTGCAGAATTTTCGAAGCAAAGCACCAATTGGCCACTGGCAACAATCCTAGACTAAGCTTTTACACCTACAAATTGGTTATATAGTGCTCTGTCAAAATCCCAGGGAGGTCCCCTGTTAGAGTAGTGCTTTCTTGTTTTACTACTATATTGGATGTTGGATGTTGCCATTGGGCAAGTTTCCATTAGTCTCGACGTGTTGTGATAATATGTGTACCTGTTTCCTGTATGGCGTGTAATAACTTCCTTATTAGCACTACTGGCAGATTGCATGCTGCGGCATGTCTTCGTAATAAATCTCAAGGGAGCGTTTGTTTATAGTGGGTTTTGCTCAACATTGTGTGTGTGTGTGTGGAGAGTGGTTTAACCGTGTGTTGAAAATCGTGTCTGCTCAGCCGGTGAAAAAGAAGAAGATAAAGAGGGAGATAAAGATTTTGGAGAACTTGAGAGGAGGACCCAATATTATCGCACTGTTGGATGTCGTCAAAGACCCGTGGGTGAGTGGAGGAGTGATATAGGGGAGGGAAGAGGGGATGAAATAATATCATGGAGGAGTAGATTTGGTAGTGTGTAAGAGGGGGAGGGTGTAATATGGTGGGCAATAATATGGAAGTGACTGAGTTTGCCAACACTTGAAGAGGGTCTGTCTGGCTTCTAACTTCCCCCTACTATACCCAGACATTTGTACAAGTTTTAATATACTGTGTACTACTGTTAGCAAGTTGGAGAAGTTAGGTGCACACACACTGTCCCCCTATCTCTGTTCCTTTTCTCTCCCCTTATTGCATGTACACATGTGACCCTCTTCCCTGTCGTGATGCTCTCTCTCTCTCTCTCTCTCCATTCAGTCAAGAACACCAGCTCTGATATTTGAGTATGTGGACAATACAGACTTCAAAGTGAGGAGATACAGCAATAACCAGATATTGTACACCATCTCATGTTCTATATAAATCGTGTAAAGGATGTGCTGGGACCATAAATTGAGAGGTCTTTGTATTAGAAGAGGATTAAAACAAGTGTGCTTTATAAAGAGTTTCCTTCAGACCCCACATTAAGAAGTCACTCTAGCAAATAGGTGCCTAAGACTTTCTCACTTCTCTCTCCCGCCCTCTCCCCTTACTAACTTCCCCCAACATAGACTCTGTACCAGAAGCTGACAGACTACGACATTCGCTACTACCTGTACGAGCTGCTGCGGGCCCTGGACTACAGCCACAGTATGGGCATCATGCACAGAGACGTCAAACCTCACAACGTCATGATCGATCACAGTCACAGGAAGGTACGTACACCATTGTGTGCGTGTGTCATGCAGTATGTACGTACTTGGTGGCAGGTAATCATGTGGTCTTGCCTTTCCTTGAAACCTCATGATTCCTGCAACATTTCTCAGTCGATTTCCCTATATATAGCTAGCTAAAGTGTGGTACCATGTGTATGGCGGGACAAGCACATTCCAAATGCAGAATCCCAAAAAATTTCCCTTGAAAGCGCCCCCCACTGTATGGTGCCATGTATATAATGTTCTTCCCTCCCTCTATTCCTTCTCTCCTCCCCTTCTTTCCATTCTTCTGTGCCCCTCCTTCTCTTCTCCTTAGCTCCGTCTCATTGACTGGGGTCTGGCAGAGTTCTACCATCCCGGCCAGGGCTACAATGTCCGGGTCTCCTCGCGCTATTTCAAGGGCCCCGAGCTGCTGGCAGACTACCAGGAGTACGACTATTCTCTGGACATGTGGAGTTTTGGCTGCATGCTAGCTAGTATGGTAAGCCAGATCTCCTGCGGTGTCAGATACGGGGACATTTTTCTTGCGACCCCACGATATTAAAACTGGGAACAAACACATCCATAATGCAGCGGAGCGTGACAAGTGTGAAATTGGCTTGCAATATATATTTGGGACTGTTGAATGCAATTATATTGCTTCCTTATTTGATGATTGTTTCCTGCCCAAATTAAATTTCTTTGTGTAGATGTTGATTTTGTGCACTAACCGTTCTGTTGTATGTAGATATTTCGCAAGGAGCCGTTCTTCCACGGTCACGATAACTACGACCAGCTGGTGAGGATTGCCAAAGTCCTTGGAACAGAGGAGCTCCACGACTACGTTGAGCGCTACAAGATTGATCTGGACCCCCGCTACTCTGACATTCTCGGCAGGTAAGACGCCGCCAGCCGTCACTCCAGATTGTACCATTTCGTAACATTGCTTCTTTGAGAAACAAATCACAAAGATATTGAGAAACCTGTGTGTCATTGTTGGTTTTTTGGGGGTGTTTGGGGCGTGTGTCTAAGGCACGAGTTTAAGGCTGAGAGTGCGGCAAAGAAGATGTTAACGTTTGGCTCCGTAACGGATGTACCTACCCTCTGGGATTACAAGTTGAGGTTTTTGTGCTTCTAACCTGATTCTTGTGTCTACATTATAGCTCATTCGGTGGTTTGCAGTGTTCGATTTGTTTGACTTGTTTGTTAGTCACAAAATGTCTGGTGACTGACCTGTGCAATACACCATTAATTAATGTCGGTGGTTCAGCCAAGTGTAGGAGTCAGAAGACACAGCTAATGTTTGGCTGCCAGGCTCCTATATTCTCACAAGACTTGGGACAACTACTCACTTAGTTGCCTCCACAGCCTCGAGGCAGATTTCATTGGAAGTGCCTTTGTTTGTTTTTTTAACCCTCGGCGTGCATGCACAGCGGGGACTACATTACTTAGTAGGTCTGTTTTCAAAAGAGTGATATAAACACTACTACACACATGCGCATTTCACAAGACTTTATCCCTTCTTCCCTCATTTTCTTCCCCTCTCAGACATTCTCGCAAGCGGTGGGAGAAGTTTGTCCACAGTGAGAACCAGCATCTGGTGAGCCGCGAGGCCCTCGACCTTCTCGACAAACTCCTGCGCTACGACCATCGCGAGCGACTCTCCGCTCGGGAGGCCATGGAGCACCCTTACTTCTGTGAGTCATTTCTCCTCCTTTACCCTTCCCCCCCCTCCCCTCTCTACGGCTGTATTGAAAGTGCTTTTCACATGGATGAGCAAGAGCTTAGCACTCTCTAGCATGAACAACACGTAGCTAATCGAAGGTGATCGGGATTATAGCAGTCACAAGATGATTGGTACTGGATGATGGAGAGGGTTTTAGTGTACATGTGTTGTGTTATTGTCTACGCTGTGTATATGTGACTGTAGATCCGGTCCTGAAAGAGGCGGCCATGAATGCAGCTGGACCGACTAATGTCACTCCCTCCTCCCTGCCTTCAGGTATTATATACAGGGAACATACAGCATCCTATTTAGTGCACACTTGCATAGTGAGAGGCTCTTTAGAGCTATTTTCTTCTTTAAAAGTTTGTGGACAGGAGTCTCTGTTGGAACTTCTATGAGTGTACTGTATTTCAATTATATGTGTGGCTACTTACATATTCATTCTGCAGGTGCTTCCCCCTTCCCAATAGCTGGTGGTCCTGAAACCCAACAGGTTCGCGAAGGTCTTCAGGACATTCGGGAAGAAGCAACGGGCGGAGCTCAGAACGGCAGCCAATGACATCATCATTACATCACTCCCCTAGCAAACTTTCTTTCGGATGATGCTTTTCTGTAACTGGTGACCTCGTGTCAAAATGTATCATATTGTATGTATTACACATCACCTGTATGTTATGTTCATTATTACACGTCATCAATAGGTACAATGCAGGCTCTGCAGCATGCACAAACACATCGACATTTGTATATCCGTCTACATTGATTTTGTGATGAAACCATTGTAGTATACATCAGGAACGAAAATGCCATTTCACGCACGAGGAAACCTGTTCATGGTAGTCTAAGTGCTTAGGTCGGTACAGTTACAATACAATCACAACTAGTAGCGTAGTCGCTAGGTCTTCACAGGAGTGAGACGAGGTTTCCTTCCACCACCACCACTGCCACTTAGTGTCGCCCCTGGGAGAGATGTGTGGTGGTGTTGCCATGGTGACGACCCTTGTGACCTCCGACCTTGTTGCCATGGTGACGGGGTGGTTAAGGAAGTGAGTAGTGGGCTGGGATTGTTGGGGGTCTTGGTTCGCCCCCTGCCGGGGGACGAGGAGGACGATCGGGGTTGGGACACGAGGACTTGAAAACTGAGCCACGGCTTGGGAGAGGGGTTGTAGGAAGGAGGAGGTCCGATTGTAATCCCGGGGGTCGTCCGGGGGCCGGGGGAGATTGGTAACTGGGTGGTGTATGTGTACGGGGATGTTGTGATCGTGAGGAGTTTGATGATCCCTGAGATCTCTGGGAGTTGTGTGAGGGAGCTGGACTGGGGAAGATTCTAGTTGAAGCCGTAGAGGAAGGAGGGACTGCACGAACACGGCAGACAGATTCTCCAGATATGAGTCTCTGTGGCTGGGAGTAGAGTGAGGGTGGTGGTGGTCTGTGATGGTGTCTCAGCTCAGTGCCTAGCTGCTGCCTGCCGATTGCGGAGTTGGTGGACCATAACTCGGACACTGATTTCTGAATTGGTTGCCCAGATTGCAAATTGGATAAGATTGTATTGCTGAACGGGTGTGACCAGATTGTGGATGCGACAACCGTATTGCTGAACGGGCGTGACCGGATTGTGGATGGGACGACTGTATTGCTGACAGGTTGACAGGATTGTGGATGGGATGGCTGTACTGCTGAACGGGTGACTGGAGTGTGGATTGGGACGAATCTGTGAGTGCTGAAACGGGTTTGACCGGATTGTGGGATTGGGACGACTGTATTGCTGAACGGGTTGACCGGATTGTGGATTGGGCTGCACAGACTGTGGAGTGGGTCTACAAGATGCACCATTGGCTGATGATAGATGAAACCGTCCAACGCTGGGTTGCTGGTGTGATCCTGACGGCCGTTAGAGTCAGCGATTGCATCTTGCACTCATTTCAGCCGGACACCTACCGGCACTGTGTGCGTACTTTGCACTGGACTCCAAGCTTGGCTTGTCCCATACCTGACTGTTGAATGGGATGGGTTACGTTTACTGGGGTTTGCCCCTGCAATCTCCTAACCCCCATTGGCTGTGGACCCAGCGAGACCAACTGGGTGGACGTGTTTCGCTGCCTGGAGGGGCTGGAATTAACTACGGGGGTTGTGCATCATCCTGGTCGTTTGGCCGTTTATATTAGAGGGGGTGCCACTGTGAGTGAGAGGTTTCTTAGCTGCGAAAAGCGGAGTTGGAGGATTGCTGGGCGAGCGACGAACAGTGAGTGAAGTCACGGACCCCTCATTGTGTGGGGGAGCTCTCTTGGCTCGGAAAAACTCCACTCCAGGTGTATCGTCCCTGGAACAGTAGGGGTGGTACTGGTTGACACAGGGCGCCCAACTAGGGCAGTGTTGGTAAAGAACGGCAGTCGAGGAACAGCATTACGAGGGGTGATATTGCGACAACTCGCTCCCAAAACACTTTCAGAGAACGCGCCTTTCTGCTCTAGAAATGGGTCGATACCTCTCCTGTGGAGCATCTCCACACACGGTTCTCAAGACCTTCTTTTCTGGTTCTGCTCCTGCAGGACCTCTTACACTCTGCGTACTCCCTCTCGTAGTCTTCCTTGGCCGGGAGAGTGGTTGATGAGCACCCACGCCTTCTTCCTCCGAGAGAGACCCTGCGCTTCTGGTGTTCCTGGAACTGACAGGCGGACAGCATGTTAGGTGATGAGTTGACGGGGTTCGTGAAATACGGCTCCAACTGTTTCGGAGTTGGCCGGGTCGTCGTGAGGTTGAGCGTGTTGCGTGGACCCCGCAGGCCGGGCAGTCTCCCGTGGGACCGCGACTGGTGCCCCAGCAGCTGCTGCAGACGATGTGGGGAGCACGTGGTGAGGAGCATGCAGAAGGAGGCCTCGGGCATTGGCCGTCGGGAGCAGCGCAGAAGAAGCAGCAGAACCAACTGAGGTCTGGGGCGGCGGGTGGTTGTTGACTTCGACGGAGTCTTCACAGGTGCTCGAGACACTGATGAAGGTGCAGCCATGGCCATTCACTGTTGAAACAGCTCGTCTCTGTCGTAGCTCACTGGTTCGAGAGCTGAGTCGAGTAGATCGAGCAAGAAGAAAGTGCAGCTGCGCTATTTGTTTATGTTTGGCGCGCGCGCATGCGCGATCGACGACACACTATACCGCGCGCGCCGCGCGCGACCAGCTGTTTGATCACGTGACCGCTAGGTTAAAAAGGGCGGGTGATATTTCTAGCGTGTGTGTGAAAAATGGCTCAGAGCAGTCTCAGGCAGTTTTACACGGTCAGGAAGAGACCCCAAGAGGAGCACGGGTCTCTGAAGCGCCGCAAGTTGACGGAGGAGACGCGAGTGGACCTTCCCGCGGGGGGCAAGGACGCCGATCCCCTCAGTCTCCCCTTCACCCAGCCCACCGTAGTATCATCCACGTCTGAGACAGCTGGCAGCAACCTCCAGAACAAATCCAGCCACCGGCGGTGAGGGAATAGAGTAGTTTAAGTTGCAACAGCAAGTGGATCTTTGTTCATACATATGTACGTACCTCAGCTCCTACTGTTATGAGTATCTATATAATAGTATTAAAGTTGACTTCTGATTCTCTTTGACAGTTCAACTAGGACCAGAGGCAGAGGCCAGAGCACAAGTCGCTCTCGAAGACGTCGCAAATCTCCCCCTCTTCCAGCCACACCCTCCATTGTTCTCCCCTCCCCACCTCCCTCCCATGAACAACCTCAGCCCACTGACGATAAGACACAAAACCAGCAATCTCTCACCTCACTTTCTCACACCTCCAGCTCCCATCAGCCCTCCACTACCACTAGTAGCAAGGAGGCCACTCTGCCAACTGAAAAGGAAACAGATGGACCTTCTTCTCAAGCTAACCACCAGTCAGAACAATCTTCTCAAGCTAATCTGATAGAACCTTCTCAAGCGGACCGACTAGAAGATGTATCTCCAGCCAAGAGAGCAGCAGATACGCCACCCTCTCCAGCTAAGAGGAGAGAAGATGTGAGCAAATATGATGAAGAAGATCCTCTACTTCTTCCCTCAAGTCCAAAGTCACCAAAACAAGACACATCTATTTCCAAAACCTCTAAACCTCGTGCCAGTGATTTAACTGCCCTCCCACCTCCAAGATCGCGAAAGAATCTTGCGGACAAACTAAAGCTTGCCTCTAGCGGTCCCCTTCCTCTCTCCTCACCTTCCTCCTCCACCTCCTCAGCCACTCCCTCCAGCCAGCCTAACGTCAGAAAGACTCCAGCTAAGACCACCTCGAAACCTTCGGCAAAAGATTTAGCTCGGAAGACAGGGCCGGAGACCAAGTCTATAGATTCTTCAACTCCCGTTCACTTTGCTCGACCGAATTACTGGAGAGCCGCAGCTAAAACAACTTCAACTCTTTCAGCCAAAGAACTAGCACAGCAAACAACAGCAGAGACTCGATCTAGTGATTCTTCAACTTTAGTTCGCAGTAGCCAACCAAATGTCCCTGCTGCTAAAACTCCTTCAGCCAAGGAACTAGCACAGAAGACAGTTGTTGAGAGACGGTCTGGCAGGACACGTGAGTTAGCCCAGAGAGCAGAAGGGGATAAGCAACCTCGTGCAACCATGACATCGTCTTTGACTGGAGACACAGATTCTATGAGTAGTTCCGAGGCTATTAGTCGCCTCTACAAACTGTCGGCAAGAGAACTGGCACAGCGGACGGAGCCCGAGAGGAGGACACTGAAGGCGGTGCGTCGGAACAAGGGGAAATCCCCTGCCCCGCCCACTCCACAGCTCCACCAGTTCCAGCCGTTTGTAGTGGAGAGTCCTACAAAATCACCAAGGTTGGTTCGCTGGCTCGCAATGTATGTAATCTATATAGTCTGTTGTGTTGAAAAAACGAGTGTGTCTTTCCAGAGTAGGTAAATTTGCAGAGAAAAACAACGTTATGGACATATTATGTCTGGTTTAGGAATGCATTAACAGTCATTCATGTTCCTTTCCAGTAAGCAGCCAGCGTACCAGCGGTTCCACAATCTAGCCCGTTCAGCTGGTGAAACCCCCGACCTACCACTTCCTTACAAGTATCAGGTGAGAGCCAACTCGCAGTGCTTCTTCCATACCAGTATCGTGTAATAAATAGGAGTCCAATCTTTCTGAAACTGGTTTAGCCAGCACAATATTCCCTAATCCTTAGGAGGTCCATTAAGGGGTGTATTGGAGTGTGTCTGAAGAGGGAAAGCTACTGGGGTATTACTATTGCTGTGTTATTCCTAGCTGCATGCCGTAAAGAGTGAGCTAATGTTGGTGTGTGTGTGTGTTTGTGTGAAGGTTTTGCTGGAGAGGTTCAGATGTACAGACACTGTGGCCACGATGCTGCAGAAGAGGAGAGAGATCTGCACATTTGGCAAGCTCAAACGGGCAGTGGAAGAAATGACCAGAAGGTACATTTAATACGATGGGAGATTTTAGCATCATGTGAATTGGAGGGGCTTGGAACACCTGTACATGAGTATATAGCATTATGAGTTTTGTAACAGTGCTTAAAACAGACGACTAGGTGGGCTTGTTTTGATCTCACACAAGATTTAGGAATCACATTTGCACTTTGGTGCATAATAACCTCTCACTCTCACTCTCTCTCTCTCTCTCTCTCTCTCTTTGTAATCCACAGAAAGTATGAGAACAGGAACCTGGCACAGATGGAGACCGTCTACCCTCGGGCCTACATATTCCGTCAGGAGAAGAACATCCCCGGAGTCTATGACAAGAGGACCTACGAGTCGTACCAGCTGACCGTAGAGTGTAATGCCAGGGAGGACGGGAGGGAGGAGAAGGAGGGAGAGGAGGAGAAGGAGAAGACGAACGCAGTGCTGGACAGCTCGGCTCTGCTCCGCAGAAAAAAGTTGTTCAACATGAACCTACGTGACATCACCAGGAGATATCACAAGGTGAGTGAGATCTCAACCTTTTTGTAGGAAGAGAGTAAAGGGGACTCGTGAAATGTTTTATTCCTTGAACTAATACCCAGTCACTAGATATTGGTTTTTGGGTCCCACTGGATGTTTAACTATTTTATAGAAGAATAAAGCTCGATATGCCATGAGAATGTGGGGTTAAGCATGTGCCTTGCCACAAGGAAAATGGCAGGACTGGTGGAATTTGATTACAGCCATCATTTTTACGAACATAAGCAGCGACTGAGCTTGAAAAACCCTGGCATGTTCAGCTCCAATTACATAGTTGTAATCTCCTTAGCCTTCTCTCTCTATGTATCACCTCCAGCAATTTCTGACCTCTCTGAACCCTCCACTGGAGATCCCTGACGAGAAGGTGCTGCGCTGGCACCCTGCGTTCCAACTGGACGGTGTACCCAATATTGAAGAGGCCCAGCTCCCTAAGCCTCCTCTGACGGAGAGCTACACCACGGCTCAAGACGTCCTGAATGCTGCACAGGGGAGGCTGGGGCCTCACGTCCAGCGAGTCCTTGAAGGCGTGGCTAGTTCCTCTGAGAGGAAAGGGGCGGAGCCTGTGAGGGAGGTGGGCGGAGTTTCGGCCCCTCTTGACCCAGCCCTCAGAGGAATCTCACAGAAGCTGCTGCAGAAGGTAGTGCAGATTTTATGTACATTTACGTAGAGTATCCTAATTCAAGGCATCCTGGTGACTCTGCACAATGCATGTGAGAAAAATGTTGCTTCGCTCGCCAAAACATGTTCGTATGGGGCAATGAAGGTGTCTGTTAGAGGTGTGCATTCATTTGGAGCGTCCATTTTCGGATACATATTTGAGAATGTTACTCTCCTTCCTCCAGATACAGCAGAAGGAGGCGTCTCGAGTGAAGTCTGACATCACCAGAGACCCCGTGCAGGAGAAGAGGCTGGAGATGGTCACACGGATGCCTCAGCTGGCCAGGATCCTCCGATCGTATCCACTTCACTACTGTCACTTCTATTCAATGGGGCCCTAGTACATGTATCATTGATGCCCTACAATATAGTCCAATAGCTTTATCGCATACTTTCAAAACTGGTAGGAAATTCAGGACAGGAATATATACACGTTTCAAAAGCAACTGAAAACATCTCTTGTGTATATTATATATATATATACAATGTATGGCTGTTGGCTGGTAGAATGTTGTCTTTGACCGGTTGGTCGCCAGACTGTTTGTAGCTGAGAAGAAAGCGGCCATTCCGTGGGACACTGTGGTACAGAAACTGAGAGACAGTCACACCTCCTGTCTTCCTCCAGGTACCGCTTACTACTATTGTGGGCGTTAGAGGAAACATTTTCAGTAAAAAAACATTATGCCATCAAGGTGCATTTTCTTGTGCAGTTTTTTCCGTCCAGTTCCCTCATACACAGTGCAACCTCTGAATATGGGACACCTTCGGGACATCGAAATGAGTCCCTTATTCAGAGGTGTCCTCACTATGTGTTAATACGGGGCAGGGTGTGCTTTGTTCAGAGGGTCCTTTTGTTTTTCGACATAGACTAGTACCGTGTCTTCTCCCTTGGTAGTATGACATTTACCTAGTAGCACCATCCACCATCCTACAACCTGTTTTCTAAGGAACATACTGAGCTATCCACCCTGTTGTTTAGTGTTTCTCTCACCCTTATCCCTCCTCTCCACTTCTTTCTCTCTCTCTCTCTCGCAGACGGAGTGGAGGAGCACCTGGAGTTCATGAGGGAGAGTCTTGGTGGGTGGCTCAGTGTGGTGGAGGTTCGCAAGAGACGCTTCGTAAAGATCAACAAGAACACCGACTCCCAAGTCCTCACTGCTCGAATGCAGGACACCCGCAAGAAACTGCTAGCATAGTATGCTACTACATCAGGACAAACTGTGCACGGTGGGACCAAGATGTGTCTAACGGATTTCTCAGAAACTCTTATGCTACATATATTATATTTCTTTTGCTGTTTTACTTTTCAGACAGGACTAAATGTTCAATTATACACAAATCAAAAGCGGACAAAATCAGTGACAAGTTTTTGGCTGTTTTCAACACCTCAGACTATCTTTTGGTGTGTTCCTGTCTCGTTCCCATAAACTGGTTCCAGTATGTGACCTGTTCCTCAGTCAATTGCAGTGACCTCATTTCTTTGGTGAATGTGACAGCTAGACTGTGTAGTGACGTCTGAACAGCTGCAGAAGAAAGAATCAATACTACTCGGTCATGTGACCATCACATGATAGTAGTGGATGGATCATGTGCTCCCAGTCCCATCATTAATTGCAAGGTCAACACAAACTGATTCAGAATCAGGTAAAGCAGATGCACGTTCTTTTTAATCATCTGGGACGGGCGCGGGAAAGACTGGAAAAGCTGGATAATCTGGACTGACCTGTTTTTACGGCAAATTTCCCGTTCATCTCCAGAGCCAGTCTGGCATCTCGAGTGCTCTTGGCATTACTGAGTGGAGCCTTCACGTGTCTGTTCATCTCCTGTAGCAGTTAGTTAATACACTTTTTACAGCTACATTCTAATGGTCAGACTTTGACCGTATGGTAAAGGCAGTTCTGGGGCGTAGGTAGGTACATAGTTTGACAGTTGTGGTGTCCTCACTGCGCTTGAATGCAACGCGGGTTCAACAAGCAGTTTGCATACTTATGCCACAACTATGCATACTCTGAGCAATTCCAGCAACTGCCTACAGTGAGCAGACTTCCAACACACAATCAATCACTATGCTCTTAGGGAATACCAGACCTGAGCAGATGAAGTTCACTGCCAACACAGAGATGGCTCACTGGGTTGGCTCACTATATATACTAACCTTGGAGAGTACAATGAGAGTGCTGAGAATGTGTGGCAGGGTCTGGAGAGAAGGGGAGAGGAAACTGGTATGAACTGAGAGTGACTAGTGTACTGGGCGTCTTACTCTCTGGACCACTCCATACTGGTCCTCTGTGTATGAGGTCACTGCCAGCTGCGAGATACCTGCAAACACATAATATAGTCATAGACAGTAAGTATATAGCGGAACCCCTCTCTAAAGACACTCCTCTAATAAAGAAACCTTTCTTCTCCAACACAGTTTCCATCCCTGCAATAAGGACACTCACTCATAGGACGCTTTTCCCTAACAAAGCATGCAATTTGGAGTGTGTCTGTGCCTACCTGTAATGGCCCAGACTTGAAGCTTCGAATCAAAGAAAAGCTCCTGACTCTTTGCTCCTGGAAACTGTATACAGGCAAAAAGTTACTCTTCCATATGGGGACAAAATGCTGCAAAAACTTTATACTAGCATACTACATATTCACCTCTGAAAGAAAGTAATGTAAAGAAAGGAGTGTTCCTCAGATTGTCGCGGGTCCTCTTCAGAAGTGACGTCAGATTGTCTCCCGTTCTCTTCTTCACCTCCACCAGACGTGGGTGTGGCTTGGGCGGAGCTGGGGGCGTGGTCTGAGTCTCAACCAAACCTTTGGGGGAAAAAGGATCAGTTAAGAGAGCCTGTCGACCAAAAGTTCAATCGGGGGCAGCTGAACTGTGTGCGTTCCTAGGGGTGGTGTCGTTGTCCGATGTTTTTTTCTAATTCGTACCTGGAGGAGAGTAGGACCACAGTCGAGTCTTCTCGCTGCTGGCCATCCTGCGAGACACTCCAGGAGGAGCCAGAACACCTGCCGGCAGCTCGTGCCAACCCTTCTCCGAGGACATCGCTGGAGACCCTGCAGTCAACATACACCTCAATTCACTTCTACACCTTACTTGTATATATACTCCACAAACCTACAATTTCGTGGTTGGTTCTCTAAAACTGTAAATTTTCTGGTTGGATCTCTAAAGTGTAAAATTTTGTGGCTGGCTCTCTGAAAGTGTAAAATTTGTGGTTGGCTCTCTAAAGTGTAAAATTTGGTTGCCTCTCTAAGACCGTGAAATTTGTTTGTGTATATATATAGCGACTGTTTGCTATAGAAAAAATATTCTCCATCTAAAATTTCCAGAATGGAGAAGACGTTGGACATTTAGCACCCACACTTCTTACAGATCCTAACCTCCGTTGAGTAAGGAGGTAGGAGATGGAGCTGCTGGGCGAGGCGCGAGGAGGGGGCGGGGAAGAAGAAGAGGCGGGGCCGGCTGTGGAGACTCCGCCCTCCTTGGCGGTGAGTCTGGACGCGAGGTCGTGGACCAGAGCCAGGCATTCTCTACTGACGACCTCCCACACCTCCGGGTTCCCATCCACATCGAGGCTGAACACCTGCAGCCACATTATTGGAGCACAGTATACGACACGGTCGTGTACAGTGGAGAGTCAATGGTTACTGCTGTAGCAGCCCGTGTCAGGCTCTCTGCGAGCTACTAGCGGGAGACTGGATTCCTGTTTCTCAGATGGAGGAGATTTTAGTTAACGTGCAAGTCCTCCCCAACAGATGTACACACTATGGTCTAACCCAGAGAGAGAGACAAAGCCAAGTGCTCACCTCTGCTCTACGGGAGTGTGAGTGCAGGGCCAACTGGTGGAGATCCAGGAACCCTAGACACTGCAGAGGGACAGAGGGAGGGAGGGAGAGAGGGAGGGAGGGAGAAACAGACAACAGTTTTCCCATATTTACGTCAGGCACTGCACACTGCGGTACATGTGTAAACATGCACGAAAATTGAACTGCTTATCTCGTTCCATTCCTCCTAGTTATAATAGGCACAAGTATGGAGTAAATGTGCAAGTTTTCAATCAGCTCAATCCCCAAAGTTACACTTTCGTCCTGGCAAAACCTTGCCGAGTCCCGTAGGCCAAGGGGTGAGAGAGAGAGGGGAGCTGTGTGTGTGTGTGTGTGTGTGTGTGTGTGTGCATGTGTGTGTGTTAGAGGAGACACTCACTCTGACTAGAGGACTGGCTCGTGATGTGAGGGACACTGCCAGAGTTCTGTCTCTATCTCCCGAGAACGTAGCCACCACCGGGAACTGAACCGCCTGCACAGACACACACACACACATCTATACATTGTATATACCCCTGATTCAATCATTTTATTATTGTGTAAAACGTGTGAACTTCTGTGTCATTTACGAAAGTTTAGTGGGCTGGGACCACCTTATATAATGGTACAAGGTAGTTTCTTTATGAATTTCTACGAAATCACAAATGCTTCATCTTTTAGTTTCCTGTCACACACACTCTATATACCTGCGTTTGAAAAGTTCTGAATATTCTGAGTCCGAAGCTCCACCCCACATGTATCGTCGTCCCGGCAACGAGAAGTGAGGTAAACAGACCCAGGTCCATCAGAGAGGAGAGAGATGTCAGCCGAACGTCGTCCCTGGCAGATTGAGAGGGAATTACAGGAGACAGGGGGGATGGGAGCGAGTTAACTTCAACTTCTAATACGACATACAGTACGCAGTCATACATAAAGAAATCATTTCCCAAGGAAACAATTGTAGCAAGTAAGAAAATTATGGACTATATCCCATTGTACTAATAGACCCAAACTTTTTCACAAACAGTTATGCAGAGAAAAGTAAATGTACATGTTGTATCCACTACTGTATTGTATTGCAAACCTCAGTTGTAGTCCCAGCAGTCTTATGACCCTATTTCGAGGGTAGTAGCCTAGGGAAAGGGAGGAAGGAGGAGGAGAGAGGAGAGAGGAGAGAGGGGAGAGGAGAGAGGAGAGGGGAGAGGGGAGAGAAGAGAGATGAGAGAGGAGAGGCAGACAAGAGGAGGGGGGAGACAGACACAGAGAAAGGGAGATTTTTTTTCGTGTCGAATGCTATCAAAGTGACTCACCCAGAAGGAAGTAGAGGGGGTAAAAATACCTCAACCCCTGTTATGACGAGAGGAGAGCATTGAGACACTCTCTCAGTGAGGAGACCAGATATCTGACCTACCCCTAGTGTCCTGGTCAGGGCCTCTCTCACATGACTAGTCACATGACCTCGCAGTCTGAACAGCTTGTGTTGCTACACACACACACACACACAAAAGAGAAATTTGGATAAAAGGTGCTGTATAGCAGGTTAATTTCGCTCAGCAAAATAATATAAGTTTTGTTGTTGCGCATGAATGCTGTGAAAGGAACTCCAACAAATTTTATGCCAACAACAACAAATTTTACACTAACAACAGTAGTGAGCTCACCTGGATGCTGGGAAACACCATGAAACTCTCCTTCAGAAGATAGTACCTCACTCCATACCTCAGTCCCTGTGGTACAATGAACCTCACTCATACCAATGTATCTACATATAGCTGCCATTTTTTTCCATAAAAAATTGACCAGTAGGAAAAATAAACCAGCTATATTATGACATCAGTCAACTCACAATGAAAGCTCCATGAGCAGCATGGAAGAACAGATACTCATTCAGACAGTACCGACAGCTGCATTAGGAGCCCCAAAAAAAGAGAAATTGTAACTCTAAAATATCTCACGATTCCCAGTCGCATACCTCTGGTGAGGGGACCATAGGTAATGGTAGCCGGCCAGCTCCGCCAGGCAGTATGAAGCTCCACCCCCTAGCAACGCATAGCTAGCAACGACCAGGAGCCGCGGCGGTCTCAAAACACCCCAAATGACGGATAACCGAGTCTTGTACACTGGAAGAACAACTACCAACAGATATCGAGGGAGTGTAAGGTGGATAGAGTAACAGTATGAGTTGAGTTAAGTTACGTATATACCAGCGCATGTGGTAGAATATATGACTAGAGTGTTGGAGAGTGTGAGGAGATAGAGACAGGCAAACACGAAACTTCTCGCAGAGAGGACACTACTCAGCCAGTCTGGAGAAGAGGGAACAGGTGGAATATACCGGCAGAAAGGTTACATACTACCTTGTATCCATGTAAATGGATGGAGGGGATTACACAGAGCCAGTAGTTGATAGAGAACCAGTGCAGGACACGATAGGACACACGTCCACACTATAGCCGCGCCGCTACGCCAACGGTACACCTGGACGCGAGCGAAAGTAACCACCCACGTGCAGACAAGCTGCGCGTTAATTGGAAAAAGCCAGCGCGCAAAACCATAGGCGAGGCAGTTGATTTAGACGCAGCTCACAGAGTCACACACACTGCGCATTAGTGCAGGATGATAGATGAGTTGATACTTACTCCTTCAGTGAACCACCGCATCTTTTTCACGGGCAGTCCCGCTAGCGGCTGAACTTTGACCTTCTTAGCTCGGACAATTAACCCCTTTCGAGCACCCACGTGTTGAAAGTTGATAATGTCGAGACGACTTTCGCCCATAAACAGACTTCCCTACCTCACCTTGCTACGTTTCAGCTCCAACAGTACCGGACAGGTTCGTCAGCTGCTCGTAATGTACCGTTTTACCGCTAAAACTTGGTCAGTCTGCAGAGTACGTACCGCATGAGGTGGAGAAGAAATGGCAGTCCAAGTGGCGGCAGAAGTTGAAGGAGAGAGGTCACGTGACCAACGAGCTGCCCCCCGGGGTCGATAAACATTACACGCTGTCCATGTTTCCTTACCCGTCCGGCAGACTTCACATGGGCCACGTTCGAGTGTATACTATATCAGATGCCATCGCACACTTTCACCGCATGTCTGGAAAGAAGGTAACTAGAATGAACCCAGTGCAATTCAGCAAGCTGGCACAACAGAGTCCATGGTGCATACACTTTTGCTATGTATGTGATGGTCATGAAGATGTCCTGCATGGGAGTTAGATTACAGTTCAGATAACTACGTATATATGGCATGCTTTTCACACAATTTACAAATCTCGTTTGCTGAGTCTCTGTTATTTTTCTGGCTCTTCTTAATGTGTATTAGTTGTATGCATACTGCAATCACAGGTGTTGCATCCGATGGGGTGGGATGCTTTTGGACTGCCTGCTGAGAACGCTGCCATCGAGCGAGGCATCGACCCTGCTTCCTGGACTCAACAGTAATAACACTCCCTACACAAATCTACTCAGGCCCACATCAAGTTTGTGTCTTGCTGTGCAAAGTGTCCAATATGCCCGCACAGTGTTCACTGTGAGCTAATATATCTTACCTGTCAGGAACATCTCAAACATGAGAGGTCAGATGGCCAGTCTTGGACTCCACTTCAACTGGGACAGGGTGGGCTCTATTTAGACACACCACAGTAGTCATGGTAACTTGTTTAGCGCAAAACAATCATTACATTCTGTCTGTGTGCCTTTACCGTGTTCTCTGCGAGCAAGTTTTATCACGTGACCAAAGCTAAGTAGAGGCATTAGTAATCTACGTGTCCCCTGGCAGTTAGACTCCCAAACACCCCAGTGCTACTACATGTCTCACGGTAAAATGGCCCCTCTGTGTGTCTGTCTCTGTGCAGGAGTTGTCTACCTGTTCTCCAGAGTACTACAAGTGGACTCAGTGGCTCTTCCTGCAACTGTTCAGACGAGGCCTCGCCTACCAGAAACAGGTGAGGAAGCAACGGGTTAAACGGACAGGGGAGTGAGTGTGCATGGTTCGTAAAGTCCTTCACTTCGACTTCCACTTCTCTGTAACAACTTTCAACGGATGAAAATTTGTTAGCATGTATATTAGCAGACTAACTTTTGCAGATTGCTTGTGCCACTGCTAAAAGATAAAGTTTGTCGAAAACTGTGCGTTTCACGAAACGTTCTCTAATTAATGCACTCTATGTAAGTATGGTATATACCTATAGTAGCATCACAGGTATATGGGGCTATGATAGGGAGTGTTGTCGTCTTCATTCCCCAAGGCTCTGGTGAACTGGGACCCTGTGGATAAGACTGTTCTGGCCAATGAGCAGGTGGACGACGAGGGGCGGTCATGGCGGTCCGGGGCTCTGGCGGAGAAGAGATACCTCCTGCAGTGGTTCTTCAAGATCACCCACTATGCCGAGGTACGTGATATCTTGTGTGATTCTCCTTAAGATTTAAAAATAATAGGAACTGCAGCTGTAGATCCTGCATGCATAAAAAATTGTGGGACCATGAATTGATTTCTTCTCTGAGGGCCCTTTTGTATGTAACGTCTTTAGTAATAAAATTGCTTAAAGTTTTAGTCGTTTGATATTGAGACTGTTTTTTTGTGTCCAGCAACTGTTGAGTGGACTGGAGACCCTGGAGTGGCCGGCCAGTGTGAAGCTGATGCAGACCGAGTGGATCGGGAAGTCTGAGGGAGCTTTCTTCGACTTCCAACTGAGGAACACTCTTGAGCATCACCACCCCTCCTCCTCCTCCTCCTCCTCTCCCTCCTCCTCCTCTCCCTCCTCTCCCTCCTCCTCCTCCTCCTCTCCTCTGCCAAGTCTGAGGGTGTTCACCACAAGACCTGAAACTCTGTTTGGAGTCAACTTCCTAGCCGTCAGTCCAGAGCATCCCCTCTTGCTCAAGACAGAGGTACACCTTAATGAAACAACAATTTCAGTCAGTAGCCAAACTCCTTTAATTATGTACGTATATGTCAATAGTGCATTATAGAATGTGGAAGCGTATTTATCATGTGCTCTTGGTACGCTAACATGTGTGTGGGTTTGAAGCACCAACTTTGCATGTGACGTCGTGAATCGACTGCATGGTGTAAAAGCCGTGCGCCCTCTCTTCACGTTGAAGACCATGTTGAAGTGGGTTCTATCTCTGTCTCCAGCTGTTCAGTGAGTCGGTGATGGCTACCGTGGAGGAGATGAGATCTAGACTGTCTCACCACAGCACAAACAATGATTCCAGCTCCAAACATGGTAGGTATATACTGTGTGTTTTATATGTACCATTCAACAGTCTCGAGCAATTGATTTCAACTTTGAATACCTCAGACAGTGCTAACAGTTTATTTTGTTCGGTTAAACTTTAATTCTGAAATACGTAGGAGTGGATGTTAGTTTCACATTCACATTCGCTCTCACCCTAGAATACAACTCGTAAATATTTTGTGAAGTAAATGTGTTTTTGTCTGAATGTGTGTATTTGTCGATGTGTGTGTGTGTGTGTAGGTGTGTTCTCGGGTCTGTATGCCGTTCACCCATTCACTGGTTCCGGAGTACCGGTGTATGTGGCCGACTACGTAGTTTCTGACTATGGAACTAAGGCAGTAATGGGTTAGCCCCTGTACTGTACATTTCTATCATGTACATATTCATTATGCTTCCATACATTTCTGTGGGGTTATAATATAGAGCATTGCACAGGTTTCTTGTGTGTATAGCAGAACATAAACCTTTTGCTAAGAAATTTGCTAGTCCAACTGATCTGCAGTTTCACCAAGAATGGATCTAAAACTGTGGTTCCCGTGGGGAGAACTCCCCACTATACGCTGTGTGTGTTTCTGCAGTAGAAGCAATCTGGCAATCGTGGAAGTCTCTCTCCTCCCTCTGAAGGTGTTCCAGCCCACGATGCTCGGGATCTGCAGTTTGCGGCCGAGCACCGTCTTCTCCCAGTCACTGAGGTCGTCAGTTCAGACGGTCTCTCCATCATCAATTCCTACCAGGTCACCAACACAAACCACCATCCCACATGTATAATTATGTACAGTTTAAAGCCGGGGAAAAAGAATATACACTTCTGCCCCATACTAATGATATAAGGGACGCCACTAACTAATATAAAGAGCACTTGGTCAATGTCCCCGAGGTGTCTCTTAATCAGAGGTTTCGTAGTGCATGACACTTCCTACGTCCCCAACAAGCCACATGTTCACTGTATGTTCCACAGCTATGTTGGTGATCAGTTTTATGATGGCCTAACGTTTTCTCTTCAGTTCTCTGGATTGTCTGTCGAAGAGGGGTCAAAGTCCATCGTAAACTCCGCCCACAGCCAGGGGTTCGGAGGTCACATGACCCAGTACAAGCTACGTGATTGGCTCATCTCACGTCAGCGCTACTGGGGTGCCCCCATACCCGTCCTCCACTGCCGCAAGTGTGGGGTAAAAACTGGAGTAAATCTACCGTATGTGCAAACTTTCTCGGAGTATTACCCGTTTTACAAAACTTTTAGTTTGTAATTATTTGTAATGCAGGACCAGCAATCTGTGGAAACGTTTCTCCATAAAATTGATTTTTGCTACCGAAACACGAAAATTGTCTCCCTCGATAACTTCTCGCTGTATGATCCCCGGCACCAACCTATCCCCTGGTGTCTCGTCCGCAGGTGGTTCCAGTCCCCGAGACTCAGTTGCCAGTCATTCTGCCCACTGGTGTGGAGTTCAAAGGTCGTGGCCCCTCCCCCCTCTCGCAGGACGAGGCCTGGCTGAGAGGAGACTGTGGGAAGTTAGTTCTTTGTCGTTTTCCACATTACGTCACAGAGGATCTGATCTTTCTTGGGCCTACTGTATGCTTCATAGCATCACATTTGGAGATATACACTTTTTGCACTGACTTAAAATTAAACATCCAAAATTACCGATCCACAAATTTTGTCTATTAAATTTTGCCACTTTATAGCGGGAACCTTGGGGAACAATTACATACGTACGTTCCCCCACCCATGTCACAAAAGACCAAGCAAACACGTTCTAAAAGATGGGGTCTGGGTAGTCAACACTGCACGTGATGTCATAGACCAATGTTCATCGTGCAGGCCTGGGTGCTGTGCGAGGAGAGAGACAGACACCATGGACACGTTTGTCGACTCCTCCTGGTACTTTCTCCGCTTCATTGATCCACATCTCAATGACAAGTGAGTCATCGCGTAGACCCAGTATAATACGTACCACAACTGTTTTCAAGAAAGCGAAACTCTTTTGCAAAGCGAAAGATTAAGTTTGGTGAACATGGTTTGAGGCATGCGTGACGTACAAAAGCCAAATGGCGATTTCCGTAGTTATTTTATGGTATATACATTATGCAGGCCATTCTCTGAGGCTGTGAGGAGGTGGATGCCCGTGGATCTGTATGTCGGAGGAGTTGAGCACGGTAGATGGGAGTATGAATATGTCACAATGGTTTTGTCATTTTCTGTGTGTGTGTGTGTGTGTGTGTGCGTGTGTGTGTGTTGCAGCAATCCTGCACCTGCTGTATGCCAGGTTCATCACTCACTTCCTCCATGACCAAGGCTTTCTCTCGCACAAGGAACCGTTTCAGAAACTACTAGCTCAGGTACGTACGTACTGGACGTACTTTAGCGCATGAGGTACATACGTACGTACTTGGGTAACCCCTCCTTATCCAGACACACGAATAGGGCAGAAGAAAGTGTCTATATTATTTCAGGGGTGCCATTGCATGCAACAACTGTTCTCGGGGGGAGAAAGTTGTCCTTGTTAGAGAGGTGTCCTCATTTCAGGGGTGTCTTTAGAGAGGGGCTCATCTGTGTTTCTCTCCCTTCCTATCCGACTAGGGAATGGTTCAAGGAAAGACCTACAGACTGCGATCCTCTGGGCGTTACCTGAGGCCAGAGGAGAGAGAAGGGAGAGAGATGGTGGGAAATGAAGATGATGAGGTCAGGGTGTCTTGGGAGAAGATGTCCAAGTCAAAGTATAATGGTGTGGATCCTGAGGTGATCGTCAACGTTGGTAGTCAGTCACATGTGACCTGCACTCTCCTCTCCGGTCTCTCTTCTGTTCGCCCTGGGTTCCTCCCTCCTGCCCTCCTCTCTTGCTTCCCCCTCTCTTCGTCCTCAAACTCTCTCTATGTGTGTGTGTGTGTTGAAGGATGTGATCAGAGAGTATGGAGCAGACACTGTCAGAGTGTTCATGTTGTTCAAAGCTCCTCCTGAACTCGACATGCAGTGGGACACACAAGGTTCAGTTCCATAAGTACATGGCGGGAAGCTTTTTCCTTCATAAATTGGGCAAAAGTTAAAAATTTTAACTGTTGACCACAAACTTTCGTGACAAAAAGTTTCGAATTTGGCAAATACGTGGGTTATACTGTGCCACGCATGCCTAATCTGCAAAATTATTACCCTTGAGAGTTCCAGCTGTGTATCAAGATGTGGTTTTTGGGGGTTTCAATGTAGCCATCCGTGGAATGTTGAGATGGCTGGGAAGAGTGTGGACTCTGACTCATGAGCATGTCAAGGTGTGTCAAAGACGAGGAGAGAGGGAGGAAGGGGAGGAGAAGGAGGAGGAGGGTGAAGAAGGAGAGCAAAAGATTGTTTCTGCAACTCATAGAGCTATTCAGGAGGTGAGGAGAGAGTGAGAGAGAAGTACATAGAGACTCATTTGGTGTGTTTACTGTGCACAATAAAACTCCACACATGAGCACAGTGTATGCTCAGCTGTATACTTAAACTGTATGCACTGCTGTGAATCAGTTCACGTGTATGCAGAAAGTAAACAAAAACGGAAGTTTTAACCGACAATGTTGAAAGATGAAATGTGATGTACAGGTGACAGCATCTTTCACAGAGAGACACACCTTCAATGTGGCCGTCTCGGAGCTGATGATCCTCAGCAACACTCTCCGAGATGGGCGGAGCCTGAGTGGAAGCCCCGCCTACCACTCCGCCCTGGAGACGCTGTGTCTGCTGCTGGCACCAATGGCTCCTCACGTCACCGCACACCTCTGGGAAGGCAAGTGGGCTACAAATGGAATATGCCTCATTGTTAGTGTTAGTGTTTGTGTATAGATCTTCAAGGAGTCCGACGAGTGCTTGGCTTACCTATAATCAAGGTATATATGAGAGTTAGAAAGGAGATTCTATGCACACTTTAACAGTCACCTACATAATCTCTTTACGTACCATATGGTAGGTTTAATAGTTTGGTGTGCATTATATAGGGAGATGTGTTGAGCCAACCATGGCCACAGTGTGATGAGTCACTACCGAACAGACCAACTGACACTGTGGAGTTTGTGCTACAGGTAACACGTCCTCATTCTCTCGCCTCTACCAAACGCACATTCTAGAATGACATTTGCATAATAGGATACTGCACACACTATAATCACAACCAGTAGAAGAAAGAGGGTCGGTGGAGGATTCAGTATTGACCATGACAAACTAAAGGTTTTGTGGATTGGCAAGTTTTGTCGTTTTCGTAAACTACTAGTCTTTTTGTCGTGATAGGTGACCACTATTCTATACTGCTGCAGGTGAATGGTAGAAAACGAGCCGTCCTCTCACTGCCAAGCCACCTGGTGGACTCGGAGGACCTGAGTAGGGAGGTGGTGAGGGGTGCCGTGGGAGGAGGGAGTGATAGGGGAAGAGGGAGAGGTGGGGAGGGTGATTGTGGTACCTCACAGACACATTGCAAACATTGTCACCAGATGATGTCACTAAGATAATATTATGTCAATGTTGTGTCATCAGAAATTTTATGTCTACAACAGCAGTCATGTAAAAAGCACCATATTGTTGTAAAAATTGATGGTCAGATCGATTCTAAATTTAGTTGTTATGAGTTGTGTTTATGATGAGTATCATCGCTACTGTCATGTGATGAATCTTGTTCCGACTCTCCATTTAATGCCCCCTCCTCTCCCTCTTCCTTCTCTTCTTGTTTGTGCTTTGTTCGTCTTCTCACGGCACTGCCATTACGCTGCTCGGCGCCTTGCTCAGCAGCCAGTTTCATTTGCCGTCTCCTTGCCTTACTTCGAGCAGCTGATGCCTGTGCGTTCCTCCGCCCTCGGCCGTGGGGTCAGAGGTCGTCTGAGACAGGTGACGGTGTAGAAGACAGCAACGGAGCAGAGGCTGAACCCTGCACCCACTGACAGCCAGGGGTGGTGGATCGTCATTGCCTGTGTGGGATGTGAATGATTGACGTGTCTTCCCATACAGTGAAACCTCCTCTGACTCTGAGTAAGGGACACTTAGGGACACCAAAAGTGCCATTTATTCATTTTGGAGGGAGCTTTGCACAAGTATGGGGCAGAACCAAGTGTCCTTTATATGAGAGGTGTCCTGTAGCAGGTTTGCACACCGTATCATACATGTAGAGTGATGCCCAAAGTTTAGCCCACAGTGTATGAGACTTCTACCCTGCTGGATTCGGATTGAAAGAAGGTCGAGTGATGAGACATGTATACATGTATACCTGGTATACGGTGTGCAGTCTTGTCCACCACTGAAGGGGAAAAAGGAAACTATGAGATGCTACGTTAATGGAAAAATCCAAAACTCACAGATCCAAAAACGGTCCAAACTGACCTGCCACCACCTAGAGGCTGGAGATATAGAGGCAGGTTCAACAGTCATAATGTACACGGATGTAAGTAGTAAGCTTATGCACCTCTATTTCCCTCGTCTCACGGCCTTACAGAAGTCCTTTATGCCCTCCTCTGTCACTCCCTTACCATCATCTCCTGACTGTCACACACACACACACACAGTATTTGGATCATTCACAATAATCTATTTCAACACTGTATCATATTAGACATATTAGACATACATACCTGGAAGGGGTAGTACTGTCCGGTAAGTGGGTCGTAGATAAAGAGACTCGGCACCTCAGGAACCCTGTGAGTGAGTGGAGAGAGTCGATTTCCACGTCCGTAAACATCGACAAACTTTCAGGTGAGAAAACGTTCCAAAAACTACGAAATTCGCAAGTTTACTCCTTCAAAGTTTTCCTACTATACATACATATGTATGCACGATTTGACTGCTAAGTTCTCCATTCGAAAGTTGCTACTGTATATATTCATACGTACGGTGATTGAAGAATCCTCTCAGCCAGTGGTACACTGGTCAGCTGTACAAACTGGTACTGACTGTTGGAGAAAAGAGATTACTCATTTTCACTTGGGAAAAGACGAGCTCACGGGAACACCTTTCTGCTTTCAGCCACTCTCCTAACAGTGTCAATCAGTCTGTGTGTGTGTGGAGAGAGGAAGGGAGGCAACGATAATAGGCAGGTTCATAGCATTCTGGTATGAGCAGTGTTGAGTGTATAAATAAAAAAATAAGTATAGGCTTTGTTTGTCATTATTATAGATGACTCGCCTCTTCTCTGTGATTCTCTGCTGATTGAGATCATCGTGGACCAGCAGTACCACCAACTTACAACCTGCACACACAACACAACCAATAATAATATAGCTGACTCTTCTGTAATGGTCACCAGCAGTACTACCAACTTACACCCTGCACACACAACACAACCAATAATAATATAGCAGACTCTTCTGTAATGGTCACCAGCAGTACTACCAACTTACACCCTGCACACACAACACAACCAATAATAATATAGCTGACTCTTCTGTAATGGTCACCATGCAGTAGTATAATACGACCTAGGACTAAGTTAGTGAACGGTCGAAAGTCTCCTCGTTCACTTGGGGAACGCAGGGTGTCTGAGGAGAGAGAGAGAGAGAGAGGGTAAGACGCACACTAGCCAATGAAGATGAACAAAACTGCACAACATATCCCCATGCATCTATGTATCTATGATGCTATATACTACTGTACATATTATATACCTCTCACGTGAGACCCATTTGCCAATGTTGTGGGTGGACAGTGAATCTGCAGAATGCAACAGTATCACACAAACACACGAGTGCACACACACACACACTGGCCTAGGAAGTTGACACACACCTGATCTGAGTCGAAGAGAAATGCTCGGATGTATAACTCTCAAAGTTTAGGCTAGTTTAGGAGGTGGTGGAGTATATACTAACTGTACAGTGTATGTACCTGAGAACTTATGGGCACCTCCATCTTTCATCACCAGCAGTGTGGGGAACTTTGTCACATTGAGATCCTGTGTATGTATAATGAATGATAATACAAGTGTAAGCATCCAGTGAAACTTTATACATTCACCTCAATGCACCAAAGGGCACAAAATGTTATGGGCAGCAAACTCAAATTTTACCGATTGTCGGTAAAGATTTACGATATCCCATGAAATTTTTACACACTATGGTACATGACTACTACATGAACTTTGGTGTACGGTTTTATATGTACCTGCACCAGATCAGTCTTTGTGGTGAAGACGAACTTGGCCAGTAGTCCCCTCTCCTGTGCCACAGTGGAGTAGGTGTGGTGCCAGTCCGGGTCGGTCTGACCGTCGTAGACCACCAGGAAGACCACTGGGTGGTCTCTCTGTACCTCCGACAGCTCTCGCACCGATGAAACCTCTGCCAGGTTTATACTGGAGTGAGAGGTAAGGAGTTTGAATTCTTATGAATAGATGAAGATGTGTAAGATACAGAATAAATTGTAGGTGTGTCAATTGTGAAATCAAACAATTTCTTTCGTTTTCCAAGAGAAGTAAGTGCCATAGAAGAGGCACTAGATTTGTATATTAGTGGTATATAATTATAGTGGAGAGAGGAAGGGACAAGAGGGAGAGGGAGTATAGTTATAGAGTGTGTGGTTGTGTTGTGGAGGTGACTTACGCCATGACTCTGTGCAGGAAGCCGACGAGATGACGAGAAGACAATTCTCCACTGTACACGTATCTGGCACCGCGATGATACCTACACACAGGGGCCAAAGAGGGAGAGACATAAAAGACGGTCGAACCTCCGAAAAAAACTTGAAGATTCTGACACATCTGGGTCATTAAAAGTGCCCTTTAATCAGGGATGAGGCAGAACCAAGTTTTCTTTAAAAAGGGTGTGTTTTATGCGGAGGACTCACATGATAAAGGTTGGGGTTGATCGAATCTTGAAATTCTTGACAATACCTGCAGGTGTAACAAACCCGGGTCAATCAATTATAGGTAAACATTACGTCATTGAGCCCACCTGGATTTTTATTGATCTCGATCTTCCCGAGATGGAGTCCAGTGATGTTCTGGTCGACCACGTGCTGTAGAGTGTCCTTGAAATGCGGGAGGGCTGAGTCACTATGAGAGCACCACGACGCATAGAACTGCAGGCATCGTGGCAGTAGCACTCACAGTCAATAGCTAATACATACAGAGTCTTATGGAGGCTAAATGTACTGCATTACCATTATGAAGTGGGTCGTATTAGCCAGCATCCCAGGATGGACAATCCTGTGAAAGAAATAAAGATAAAATCGGGGGGCTGTTGTGGTGGGGGGTGTTCTGCCTACTTGGACGGGTAGTCAGGTACAAAGGCCACGACCAGCTTCTCTGGTTGAGTTTTACCACCGCCTACTGATCCCTTCTCGGAGTTTTCTTTCACTGGTACGTCATCTGCAGTCGTCTCCCCGTCAGATCCGGCCGTCTCCGAGGTGCAGTAGCTGCTAAGGACGCACAACGACACGACTATTAGTCCTAATACACTGAGTCTATACGCTAGCATCGTCGGAGAATGAGACACGGAGAACGGTGAATTTTCGCAAGGGCTGAATTCTAATAAGCGCACACAGCAATAAAGTTCGAAGTACATATATTTGCGCATGCGCAATGTTGACCTATAAGCTATATTATTATAGCCCACCTTGATGCTGCGACTTCTCCGTCGGAGTCGAAACAGCATGAGCGACGAGGAATCGGACGCCCTTGACGCCAGCCAACTACTCGGTTCGTCTGATACAGCTGCAGATGAGAGTCCGTCCGCAGCCACGATCGACAGCCGAAGGGAGTCCCGTCGCTCGCACTTCGTCTTCCTCGGCATCATTCTGGCCGCTGCGGTCCTGGTGCTCGTGGTTGGGCTGAGTGTGGGCCTCTCCTCCGTCGGCGGCGGACGCAGCAGCGACCCTATGACCCGTGCGGAGGAGCTACTTGCGGAATACCCCGTCATTGATGGGTTTGTGAACCAATTTGTCAATGTTAGCTAGCTAAGCTACGTATATACCTAGTATATCTACAATGCATCTGCGTTTATGGGTGTTGCAGGCACAACGACTTGGCGTACGAGCTGAGGGCGAACTTCAAGAACCAGTTGGGGGATATTGACCTGCTGAAAAACACGTCAGGCCAGTATGGAGTTGCTTGGCAGACCGACATTCCAAGACTGAGGGCTGGGCACGTTGGCGGACAGGTTCAGCCTATACTACACTCTTCCTATAGTGCACAACAGCTGGGCTACTTTTACTCGTGTTCCTTTGTGCAGTTTTGGTCGGCCTACATGGGCTGTGGAGAGCCGCACAGAGAAGATGCCACGAGAACGTTTCTTGATCAGATGGACGTCATCAAACGCTTTGTGCAGAACTACACGTCCACGTTCTTGTGGGCAACCACTTCCAAAGACATGGAACTGGCTGTTCCAGCCAATAAAGTCTGTTGGAAGTGTTACGTCGCTGTCCCTAAGCCGATTTGTTGTGCAGATTGCGTCACTAATTGGTGTGGAGGGAGGCCATGCCATTAGCAGCAGTCTAGGGACTCTGAGACAGCTGTATGAGCTGGGAGCTCGCTACATGACACTCACCCACACTTGCAACACTCCTTGGTTAGCTTTCATATCCCATTCACAACTCAGTAGTAGTATGATTGTATATATCATTTTTCAGGGCCCATAGCTCTACAGATACTACTAGTAATGGCCTCACAGATTTCGGGAGGGTGAGACACTTTCTTAGTGCGGAGCCACTCTAGTGATTACCCTGTGATAGAGAGTGGTGTTGGAGATGAACAGACTAGGAATGTTGGTTGATATCTCTCACGTCAATAACTACACCATGAGTGATGTCCTTGCCACCAGCAAAGCTCCTGGTAATGCAAACACTATGTTTAATACCTTTGTGAGATCTGTTTTCTATTGCATATTGCCATGCAGTTATATTCAGCCACTCGTCAGCATATGCTCTGTGCAATAATTCTCGAAACGTTCCCGACAATATCCTGATGAAAATGGTATGATTCTTGCAAGCATAATTATATAGTATGGTTTACACAGATTTCTCAAACCTCTCTTTATTGTAGCCAGCCAATGGTGGCGTTGTGATGGTTAATTTTTACCCTGGATTCATCAACTGTAGCAGCACGGCCTCGCTGGAACAAGTCGCTGGTGAGAATATATGCAGTCCTCACCAGTCAAATTTGATTCACAGAGTATTTCGTTGGCCAATGTTCACTTCCCCTGCAGACCACATTGATCACATTCGCAGTGTAGCAGGTGTTGACCATATTGGCATTGGGGCTGACTATGATGGAATCGATAGGTATGTAAGCTCAGGAGATTGAATCTGTGGCCCAGAAAATTCTCATTGTGATTGCTGATAATAGGGTTCCGTATGGGCTGGAAGACGTTTCCAAATATCCAGCTCTCTTTGCAGAGCTATTGAGGAGAGGATATTCTGACAGCGATGTGGCTAAGGTTGCTCGCCTCAACATCATTAGAGTCTTCCAGGAGGCTGAAGAGGTATAGATAGATAGATAGATAGAGTGATTTGCAACACATCACATGCATATATACTCTATGAGACTATGACTGTGTATCTATACAGGTGAGCATCAAACTTCAAGCAGAAGTGGCACCAGACAACACGCTGATATCTCCTCAACCAAACCAAACATGCAGACCTGATTTCTGAACGTTATTGTACGAATGAAGTCGGCTTTTTTTATTGAGCATGCGCATTTTTTTCCTATTGAGCATGCGCAAACCCGCGTGGTTATGCTCCGCCTTCTCTTTCATCTCTCCCCTCTTGCTCGTGTTCATGGCGCAGTTTGTGGGAAAGGTAATCGGCACGCAGATGATGAAGACGGCCAAAGTCGAAGTCACGAGAATGGTACTGCATCCACACGTTCTGAAGGTGAGTAGCATACGTCACACCGATGGACGAAGCCTTTACATACCACCTGCTCTTTCTCAGTACGTAAAGCGTCGTAAGAAGTACCTATGTCACGACCCCGAGTCATCGTGTCGCGTGGGGGACCTGGTGATGATACGGAGCTGCCAGCCGCTCAGCAAGAGGAAGCACTTCAACGTGGCCGAGATCCTGGATCTCAGTCCGGCTCACCGAGCAGAGATAGAGCGAGAACAGGGGAGACTGGGAGAACTAGAGGGTACACCTGGTACTACTGCAACTGAAGGTAGCAGTAGCTGATTTATATCTATTCTCATTTCATTGTCACACTGCGTATAATATGGCTCATACAGTCTTTCATCACCACAGCATTATCTACGGGTTTTATGATGAAACAAAGTATATAGAAAAAATAAATTATGCTGAGAGAAAGGTTTGATGCAAAATTATCTCCTGTTACTGTGTCGGAAGAACTGAAAATTATGAATGTCACAACTTCTTTAGGAGCTCTGCTGCTTCTTTCTTTGCCTATATAAAATAGAGACAACGTTTTGCTACCAAACACAGTGGAGATGATGCTATATAAGAGCTTGAGTGTACATACAGGTTAACTTCTGAATTGGGACTCTGAAGTCCAGACGTTTCCCTTATTTGAGGATAAGGGACAGAAAGAACCAAGTGTCCTTTTCAGAGAGGTGTCCTTTATTGGGGAGGAGTCCTTTATTGGAGGTTGCACTGTATATATAGTGCGCTGTATATATATAATACCTCCAGCTCCTCTTCCAGAGTGGTTTCATATGAGACCGTTTTCTCCAGCCATGGCTCTGCCTCCTCCCTCTTGCCCAGAGCCAAGTGACACTTGCCAATCCACAGCCAGTTGACCATGTAGAACCCTGGGTCAGCTGGATGTATATATAAACAGATAGTTGGGGGGGGTTAAACCTAACAGAAGAAGAAAGTGATTCACCCAAAACACACTGTCTCAAAACATGCAGTCCAATCTCAATTGTAACAAAGCGTGTGTCGACCTAAAATTGCTACAATACCTTTTTCTGCAGCTTCAAAGTATGACAGCGCCTGCAGGAGAACAAAATTAACAAAATACTCAAATGGAAAAAATGCAGTTTCCACATTGATTATCTTCAACAGCCTATTTTGCACGGATCATGGAAGGACCAAATGTGTGTGTGTGTATTACCTCTTGATAGGTGGACTGTGGTGGAGTGGCAAAGAAGACGCTGGCCACCTGTCTCTGGTACCAGGGGACAGACACCACAGAGTAGCACCACTGGCCCAACAGGTGCATGCTGGTAGCATCCTTAGCATCACACTCTATGGCACTCTGACAAGAAACATACTGTTCATACTAGAACAAATGCATTTTGCAAGCAAACGTGAGTGGAAATTAGAGCTGTATAAGACCATCAGGGACACCTGGTTCTGCCACATACCAATACATCCATACGTCTGAGTGAATTGGGACACTCTCATGCACAAGGTGTCCCTCATTCAGATTTCACTTGGTGCCAAAATGTCTCTAACTCCCAAGTCTTTTGTGTAAGAGACGTGCAAATTTTCTCACTAGGAAATGATCTCTGATCTCGAAACCTTTCTCAATCTTCTTCTTGATTCCCTCAAACTCGCTGGACCAGCTGAGCAAGATCCCGGCCCATCGTCTGCACCCGTTGTGTCTGTCTCCTCCGGCGGCGAGAGCTCTCTCGATGTAGCTCCACCCCTCCCCTGCCAGTCTCTTCTTCTCCTCCTGAACTCCGTCTGGTACTTCCCTGCCTTGTAGCAGAGCCGCGCCAGTCGCCATAACACCTATAGTTAGAGGAGGGCGTGGGGAATTGAAGAAGAGAAGAGTGGGAAGCATTTGATAGAGAAAAGTCTGACGCTGTAGGGTTTGAGTCCAAGAATTGAAATTGTTTCAGTGTCAAGTTTCTCTCATACACAAACCAACTGATAAAGGGTGATTGTATGCATAGTCCAATGCAAGGAGTGTCACCTCTACTTCGTCCAAGTGTGCGTACTGTTTCAAGTAGCTGAGGCCTTCTCTCATCTGGTTGGCTTCGTAGAGCTCATCAGCACGAGCCACTATCTCTGACACTAACGGCTGCGTGGTGCAGTCAGCCATGGCTGGAGAGAACACTCCAGTCGGGGGGCGAGGGAAGGAGACGCGAGAGGCAAAAGTAGAGCCCCACAGGCAGAGCCAATGCACCGCCACACACGCACTGTGGGCGAAAGGAAGAGAGAAAAGGTAAATTTAGTGGTTCACAGGCGAGCTAACCTTCCCAATTCTCCACCAGGTAGGTCTGGTGTGTGGTGTTGTCTCCCTCCGCAGCACTACCTTCCCGCTGGCAATACGGGCTTGCGACAAAACCCGTCTTCCTGTCGCCGACATGGCTTTGTTTACTGCCATGCCGCAAACGATCTGAGGGCGGGGCAGGCACTCGCACAACTCTCGCGGGCGTGCGTGTCAACCTTTGACCGTTGATAAACTTGATTTTGTGGGCGTGGCCACAATGATGAGTGGATTTTGCAGAAGTGATTGATGTGTGTGCCGTCGTTTTTGTGGGGAGAAACGGGCTCAAGTGTGTTTCCATAGCCGGGGGTACGGAAATCACCGCCAAGAGCGTGCGCATCCCCCGAACCGATCCTATTCGCCGGTCGACCCTCTGGACGAGTGTTTGCTCTAACCTTCACGGTAAGGAAGATCAGTCTCGAGTCCTTCGAATGCCTTCTTGCCACTGTAAGTATATGCACGATTTCCTTTTTTGGCTTCTGACCCCTTAGCATGCATATGGTGAAACGGTGCGGTACTGTGTGGTGTTTTTGTGACAAGCTCTCTTTCCCTGCCCCTCCCTCCCACTAGCTGCTGCAGCAGTATGTGTGAGTGGTGGTGCGTGCTGCTGACGGTGCCGGCACTCCTGGCCTCGGCCCAGGGCCCGTCCTACGGTCACTGCTACAACAGCACGCTGGTGGCTGCAGAACCGTTCGACCCCTCTTCTCTCTCTCCCTCACTCGGCAACCAACCTGCTCCGACTGTCCAGTTCTCCAGCTCAGTGGTGGAGAGCGGTGAGCTAAAATCTCCCTTCCCCCCTCTTCTCTCCCACCTTATTTCCTCTCCCTTCCCAGCCCTTCTTTCCCTTCCAAACTCCCTATGAATTCAGCCCAACCTTGCACCACCCTTCAAGTCAAGACCACCAGCGTTGCCATTGGCAAGCTACCACAAAGACCATGCCTTACAAAGCTATATAATACTATGCAATTGGACTAAGATATCCATTAATTAACTGCTGCTATGTGCACACTCCCCCAGTTGGTGGGCCCCCAGTCAATACTAAAGCCACCACATAGGAGAACCACTTTGTAGGCCTCTCGGTCCACTTGACTGCACACTAAGTGTAGTTCACTGAGGCGTGACTGTGATTGTGTGCATTCGCCACACTGTGTCTCCCCCACCTTACCCTCTCCCTACTCTGTCTCATATCATTTTCCACACCCGTGTATGCATTACATAAACGTAGCGCTGTTCCCAGCGTACACATTATCGACTGTTAGCCAAGACACAAGAACCTGTCTTTGTTGTCACATCTCAACCCACACCCACAAGGACACACACACACACACAGACTGTATCTATTCAAGTTTATGGCCAGATGGTGTGAATGGACCTGCTACCTGCAGGCATGTAATGACTCGAGGCCTATGCCTGCAATGCAAGCTAATAGATATGCTCATAATAGGTATATACCTTGCAGATTGTTCTGTGAGCTAAAAGGCCTTCCCATTTGTATGTGATGGCTAGTGTATATACGTGTGACTAGGCAGCCTTCTGATGTACATACATTTATATGCACCTATGTACTTTATGGCAACAGCTCTAATGATGTTTTGTACGTATCGTCAAAGAAATTGTGATCTGCTTTTTGCTGGGCTCTAAAAACCTCTCAATATACTCTTCGTGTGTTTGTGATGTGACTTTCGACCAATCACGTCCTTCAGATTTGTCACATGACTGAAACTGTCCTTCAATACAGAATACATAGTGATGTTCACCAGCTACTATACGACTGAGGCTCGAGACGGCTACCTCGCTGCGTCACTCCAACCGTACCTGGGGTGGAGTGTGGTACCCCGCTCCAACCCCGGCCAGGAGTACCCCAGCGACTTCAGTTTACTCCGACTGTCGGGAGGGGGGTCACAGGACAAGATTCTGGAGGCGCTGCAGCGACATCCACTGGTAAAGAGAGTCACACCACAGAGACGGCTGACCAGAACTCTCAAGTTCACTGATGAAGGTAACTCACCATCCTCACGCTATGGTGAACTTTTACTGCATGCAAGAGTGCAACTTCAATGTTGTAGTTGTTTCGTAGCAAGTGCAGAAATTCTGACTTTAGGGCATCTGTGTTCATAACTGTTTTGCTTGCACACTGCATGCTGGTGGTGTAACACGTGGACACAGTGCCAGCAAAGTCTTCTGTGTAGCTACTGTATGTGTGCTTAAACTGTGTGTATGGATGTGGGTCCTTTTTATCTGTTGAATTGTCTCATCCCAGCAGCCAGCTTTAGTGTGTGAGTCCCACCTCACCCTTTGGACCCTATATTAGCTACATACACTGTATACCTAGGTATAATTATACTACACTTGAAAGGACCATGAATAGTATGAAAGAGTCTATATACTAAAACCTCAACACAGGGTAGAGACTGTTTGATCTCTCTCTCTCTTGTCTTCCCTCCCTTCTCCAGACATACCCAAAGACAGGGAGACTGACTGGAAGAGTAGGTGAGTCACTTCTCTTCAAACAGGTGGACACAAGTATTATTCTTTTAGGTCACCCCCCTGAACTTTGTGGTTAAGTGTGGACTCTGTGGAAAAGTGACTATACATACAGTTCATTAGTTAGCTACACATGGGATGGCTGGGATGCCAGGCGTAGGAAGTGCAATACATCTGACTCAGCAGCTATGGGTCCTTTTTTCTTTTCTCCCCCCCTGAACTTTGTGGTTAAGTGTGGACTCTGTGGAAAAGTGACTATACATACAGTTCATTAGTTACCTACACAATGTGGGATGCCAGGCGTAGGAGATGCTGGCTCAATACATCTGACTCAGCAGCTATGGGTCCTTTTCCTTTTCTCGCTTCCCCTCTCTCTCTGAACTTTGTGGTTAAGTGTGGATCTGTGGAAAGTGACTATACATACAGTTCATTAGTTAACGTCAGTACCTACACAATGTGGGATCTAGCTTAGGAGAGTGGCTGGCTGCAATACAGCAGTTATGGGTCCTTTTTTACTCATTTCTTTTCTTCCCAGGAGACCTGCAAAATCTTCAATACTGGATTCCCCAGTGAGTGTGCTAAAATCCACACATCATCACAAACGATCCTGTGTAAAGTGAAACCTATGAATAATGGGGGTGGCATCGAAAGTGTTCAGAAATGTTACTTTTTCAGAGAAACAATATTACAGTATGTGGCAGATTTAGTTGGAGGCTCCTTTTTGAAAGTCACACTAAAGAAGAAAGGAAAAAGACGTAAAAAGCGATACATTTTTTCTTTCCCTCCCTCCTCCCTCCTCTTTCTCACCTACAAATTTCAGCCTGGCAGGCACTGGTACGCTGGTCGGCGGCTAATGAGAGCAATACCCTCGTCAGGTGACCTCTGCCCCTCCACGCAACGTCCTCTGGAGCATGGGCCACACTGGTATGTCACACACCATCCCCCACTTTGTGCTTGAATTGGAGCATGGTGAACCAGAATCGTTTTGAAGCAAGAACAGAGCAAATCTTATGCATTCTCTAGCAGTTCATTTGTGTGTACGACTGTATGATACCATTAGAGTGAACCAAACTCCTTTTAAGGAAACTCACAGAAACAGCAGTCTCTTGGTTAGTTTAACCTTTTGGACGCCATGCGTATCTCCTTAAATAAGCAGAATTGTAACGCCTAGTATAGCCATATATAAAATTCTTATAGACTTATGGAGGCTCTGGCATATATATATGCCCGTGGCTTGCTAAGGGTTACGTAGGTATACAGCAACTGGTGGAATATTATTAGCATAAAGTCAATCTTGCTGAAGTGTATTTACAGTGTTTCACTATAATTGTTGCTAAAAGTGTTTGCATAGAGTGCTAACTAGCAAGCAGTGTGTTTGACATGTGTTCTATAGGAAGGGAGTTCGAGTGGCTATATTCGACACTGGACTGCCCCAGAACCACCCTCACTTCAGACACGTCCGCGACCGGTCAAACTGGACGACGAGAAAAGCCTGGAGACGGGCTCGGCCCCGGGACCTTCGTTGCCGGGTAATCGCCAGCTCCTCCGAGTGTCTCGGATTTGCTCCGTACTCTGACCTCTACATATTCCGATTCTCACAAACAGCCCAGGTGTCCTACACCTCCTGGTTCCCTCGACGCATTCAACTACGCCATACTGAAGAGGATCAATGTCCTGAACCTCAGTATTGGGGGACCTGACTTCCTCGACCAGCCCTTTGTCGACAAGGTTACACAACATTACGTACCCCATGTCAATTGAGGTGTAGAAAATTTTGATTGGAAACCACATTTGTGAATGTTTTATCTGTTGTATGTACACCTCATTAATGAATGTAGTCGGCAAAAGCTAAAAAAAAATTTTTTGCTACTAACCGAATTGCCAGGACTTTTTTAGTTCCTGCTGTGTATATACATGTGTTAGTGCGGTAGTAGTTAGCTGTTCTCACAAAAGAGTTGGCGGACAACTCTGCATTGTGACTTCCTACGCTACTATTTCAGGAGAAAAGACTGGAATTTTAGTGTGTGGCAACGCTTACTTGGCGCTGGAATGTTTGCAAATGACTTGTTTAGACGCCCACAGCACACACACTCTCTCTCTCTCTCTCTCTGAAAGGTGTGGGAGTTGACGGCAATGGAGTGATTATGGTATCCAGCTATAGGCAACGATGGCCCTCTCTATGGTGAGTACACATACACGTTACTCTCTGGTCGTCCCTATTAAATGACCTTCTCACCATCTTCCTCCTTTCTCCCTCTCTCCCCACACCATAAACCAGAACCCTCAACAACCCAGCGGACATGATGGACGTAATTGGAGTCGGTGGAATCAACTTTGAGGAGGAAATAGCTCGTTTCTCATCTCGAGGAATGACCACATGGGTCAGTTCAAACTTCCTCCTTTAGAGCTTCCGTTGAATCCTTATTTGGATATACGTACATACAGGTGTACATTTAACTCTATACTTACACACAGTGAAGTTCCAGTAAGTAGGACAATAACAGTTCCCTTACGCAAAGGCTACATATCACCAGATCAACCTTTATAGCAAGGTGTCTTTTATTTGGAGTGTTAATTTTAAGGACATAATGCATGCATACAGCAATTTGACGATTGTATATAGTTACAATTGCCATTGAAAGGGCTCCATATCAGCTTCACACAATAGAGACTTGTCTACGTCCCATTAGGAGTTGCCAGCAGTTACGGTCGGGTGAAGCCAGACACATCGTCACCTACGGCTCTGGCGTCCGAGCTCCGCCCTCCAGCGAGGCTGCCGCTCCCTCAGTGGCACCAGCGTGGCTTCCCCTGTCGTCGCGGGCGCCGTGACGCTTCTCCTCGGGGCCGTCGACCACGCCCACATCAACCCTGCCAGCATGAAACAAGCACTGATGGACTCGGCCCAGCGACTGGGCGGGGCTAACATATTTGAGCAGGGGAGCGGGAAACTCGACCTCCTGAGGGCATTCCACATGCTCAACACCTACAAACCACAAGCAACGTGAGCAGACCCTCCCTCTATAAGAATGTATTGTACTCTAAGTGGCACGGAATCAACCATGACCATGGATTGACGATACACTCCGGTATAATATATGTGATACTCTATTGTGGGGGTATGTTAGATGCTTAATACTTTCAGAGCATGTTGTTGATTTCATCCATTCATAAGCGATGTACATAATCCCAGCAACACAGCGTGCAATAGTGATTGTGTGAGTGAGTAGTGAAAGTGCATTTCCCACTGTACAGGTTGAGTCCCGTGTGATAGACTTCACAGACTGTCCCTACTTCTGGCCCTACTGTTCCCAGCCAATGTATTACGGAGCACTCCCAGTCACAGTCAACGTGAGCTATACTCCCACTCTATGCTGTCTACATCCAATTTTCTCTCTCTTTTCTTACAGGTGACTCTTCTGAATGGTATGGGAGTGCCTGGAGAATTGTAGGCAAGGTCAGTCGCAGTACACATTGAAGTGTTTGGCTTCCCTTGTTTACCGTGTAAAACAGTGTACCTAATGTGTGTATATAGAGGGATTGAGAGGGTCATAATTTTGTATGACATCAGATGTGTCAGTGTACGAAATGTGCTGTCTTTGTCTGGTTAACCTCTAAACAAGAGTGTTCAATTGAGTGTGTCTCCCATGTGTTCTCTGTCCTCTCGCTCACCTGCCAGCCCACCTGGCACCCTTACCTCCAGCACAACGGCCAGTTCCTGGAGGTGTCGGTCTCCCTACCCCTCCACCCTGTGGCCTTGGTCCGGTATCTCGCTGTCTCCCTCGTCGTGGCCAGAGAGGGACGGAGCTTCACCGGAGTGGTCTCATGGGGGCACCTTACTCTTACCATCTCCTCTCCCACGGTCAGTCACTCACCAGTGTGTGTGGGGGGGGGGGGTACTATCGCTTCACTATGTTGCTCTAAGTTGACACATCTCACTCCTGTGTTTCGCATCTACTGTTTCACCACTCAGCCACTATGGCCAGCCACTATGGCCAGCCACGATGGCTACCCACTCTGGGGGGGTGTGTACATACTACTACACGGAGCCAACGTTTACGAAACTTGTGTGTTTTGTATTTCTCCAGTTTCATCTGTGAAACCACTCAATTCATCATATGTATCATCTTCCTTTCTTTTTCTGCATTCACTTATAGGACACAATGTTCCCTGTTTCAATCCACCTCTCTCCTCTCTCTCTCTCTCCTCTCTGTCTCCCTCCCCATCCACACACTCCAGATGCTCTAGTTCAGGAGGAGAAGACGCTCCAATCCCAGGTCACCTCCCCATCAAGGTGTCGGTCGTTCCGACTCCGCCTCGTCACAGACCCGCCGCATACTCTGGGACCATTTCCACAACCTCCGCTACCCTGCCGGCTACTTCCCTCGGGACATCTCAGATAAGAACGATCCTCTGGACTGTGTGATTTGTTTTTAGAGAGATAGAGAGAGAGAAAAAAGAGAGAGGAAAGGGAGTCAGTAGTGTCTGTGTTCAGACACTTTTCACATGTTGAATAAACAATCCCATTGGCATCACATATCTTTTGCCTACATGTGTGAATTTTACTACTCCTGGCATACACTTTGAAGGCGGACATAGTTTTGTCATTGTGTGTTGTGAATCTCCATGTCCAATAATGTTCAGTGTGTAGTCTGTTTGCACGATCTCAGCCTATGCCTGCGTCCTATAATGCACTACTATGGGTTGAGAGAGAAGGGGGACATGTTTTGTGTTGAGAAGCCTTCTTTTCCTCATATCCATTGCTCATTGTGGCAGGAATAGTCTGTGTATTACGTATGGCAGCAAGTGCATACAGACACACACTATATATATGTAGAGTGTATTGATAATATACAACTAGAGAGTTATGTAGTTGTGCTCACTGGTTTGGCTATACATGTGTCATGTAGGAGGAGATCACGTCACACCACGTTAGAGACATGTACCCAGGCTCGCAGCAACGGCTACTTTGTGGAGGTCCTTGAAGCCCGTTCACACTGTTCTGATGCCACTCAATACGGTCTGAACCCGCTCTAGAACCAAGTCATAGTTGCCACATTGCAATTCCCTGCTACATTCCATACTACAGCTCCTATACTCCTTTCCCTCAGGTGTCCTACTAGACTGGTAGACCGTGAAGAGGAGTTTCTTCCCCGACTGAATATCAAAACTGAAACTGGAACGTGGAGGAGAGGGGGCTGTCCCTGGTCGTTTTTGCCGATTGGTACAACAGCTGACGTGATGAATAAGATCAAGTTTATGACGAGCACATCCCGCAATGTGGATGCGGTACACACGGGGTTTGTTGGTTGTGGAGAAGGAGAGAGATACAGTTTGATACTTACATGTGATACTTCTAAAGGGGACACATAATTATGCAAAAACACTGAAACATCGTATTCGCTCCCAACTACAGGTCATTAAATTCATGTATGCCCCTATGCCGGAGGGGCCATGTCCCGGCATTGACATGATCTCCTGTCACCTGGGGCATTGCCTTCAGCGCAGATGTCCTGGAGGGGAGATGAACAGTCAGCGATCACAAGATCCACTTTGCCTCGGGCACTGCCATTGCACGGTTCCCTCAGGACGCGCTCTCTCCTGGCCAGAGACCTCAACGCATCAGGTTCTACCATACACTACCTTTTCAGTAATAGCACTGTCTACTACTTACAGACATCGCCACTGTACTCTTATAAAGCCTTGACGTGTAGTTTCTGCGCAAATGTCCCATCAGCATAATGAGGCTTGTGAATCGAATTCAGTGATTGCAGTAGAGTGCTACATACATACCGGGTCAGAGTTGTGCGGAGGAACAACGGAACTGCAAGACGTCCCTTGCTAGGCCTTTCCAGACGCCCCAATGATGGTCAACACTGCTGCTACGCTAACCCACTGCCGTTCAGTCACTCTTGTGTTCATATGTCACTCTACCCCAGCGTGTGTTACTCGTGTCAGGGTGGAAGATAGCAGTTTTATGGCGACTCCACTGTCTGGACAGTGCACACATGCTGTCGATGTCACACACCGATACGTAATGCGCAATCTTAAAAAGGGTCTTTTAAAAAACCATTAGTTGTTTCTCTTTGAAGGGTTTTTTGGGCGTGAGACGGGCGGGTAATAAATGTAATGTTGGGTTTTTTTTGTTTGTTTTTTTGGGTTTGTTGGGTGTTGGGGGTGATGTAATGGCAATCATAACAAGGGTTCTTTTAAACCATTAGTTGTTTCTCTTTGCAAGGTTTTGGGCGGTAGACCCTTAGACGATAGAAATGCACTCATCTATTCCAATAAGTGCCCGTTTCGTTACACGATTCTTCACGTCATTATTATGGGAAACTGTATGAGAGAGAAAACTTTGTGATGCAGCTGCAAGCAACAAGGTTTTGCCAGAGAAACCAACCCACAACCATGATTGCATCCTTCAAAAGGTCCCCACTGTACTGAGGGTGTCCGGATACACACAAGGTACTGTACACAGTCTCATAGATTATTACACACACTATTACACGTGTGTATTTCCATGCACAGACTGTTTCTGGTTGCTGGATTACTCTCCTGCAACACGTCACCTCGTCCTCCTCCCTCCCTCCTCACCTTCTCCCACCACATCAGAACTCCTCCCACCTCTCTGCCGCCAGCGTATGGAAGTACAGTTGTCTTGTTGCGTTCTCTATGCACACGCGCAAGCTCAAGTACACATATATACCTGTATGTGGCGCATACTAAATGGAGAGCTTTAATCTCGTGAGTCAGTAGGGACTTAGTTACTTGTAGGGAAAACACACATGCATTGGTAATCATGACAAACTTAGATATTAATCGTGCGCTATCGGCAACAGGCTCCACCTCTACTCCGCGAGTGTTGGCTCCCAAGACTCCGCCCGGACCACGCCTCCCTCCACCCGGCCCACACCTATCTGGTCCAAACCCCGCCCGATTAATTCATCTGTACACCAGGTATTTAATATGTATGATGTCAATCATAAGGCGTTACCGCACCGATGGATTTCTGCACATTGATGACGTGTATGCGGCTGAAATTTTAGCTTGATCTTATTTTTTCTCCTCTCCCACTCTTTTGATGCCAAGAATCCCGATGTATAATCCCAGTGAGGTAATAGACATACTTGTGTAAATGTTAGGATTAAGGCTGCATATTTTATATATATGGTGTCACGGATTTGATCTCCTCTCTTTTCTCTCTCTGTTGTCTGTGTGGCTGTTTCTAGGGATCTCGAGTTTGGATGTTATGTTGGAGGGGAAAAGGGGAGGGGCCAGAGGGCTGGGGTCCATTTTTCCTGCTCCTGGGTGTGGCGGCAGTTCTGGTGTTCCTGGTTTTGGTGGACTTTGCCGCCGACGTCCTCGCAAGAAGGCGAGGTCCCCGCACCGTCCGGAGATTCACTCTAGCAAAATTTCCTGTATCGAACAAGATTTTTTTTTTATAGACCAACAACAATCTTGCCTCTTTTTCATCTTATTTATCACTGCACTGTCCTGTTATGCACCATATGGGAATCATGTATATCGCTTCGTCTGACTACGCGCATGGCATAAGGGAAGACCGCAAGATAGAGCGGGAATTAGAACCCGCGCGGACCTGGTCAGAACATGTGTGCGTGTGTTGCACACCGCTAATGGCTCTCGCAAGCACGGCGGACCCGGCGCTGCTCCTTGCCGCCAGTATGGTCGCAGGAGAAGAGCGAGGCGGTCAGGCCACGCCGTACTCCACCAGTGGATGAGAAGAGACGCACAAGGTAATTACACACAGCTCAAGACTCACATACCGCTTGCCTCTGACTTTCCCTGGTCCAGTGGCACCTTCAAAACCGAACTTTCTCTGGATTTTACACCGACCACCGATCAACTAATTTCAGAAAGTGCATACATACACAAACACATTCCACCCCTCTCAAACACACTGCTTAGACGCAGTACAAGGACGTGGCCTCCATCACGTGTCTCCTCTCTGTGCAGCTCTCCCCACCCCCTCCGGCTCTCTCTGAAACTCTCACTCTCTCTCCTCCCTCCTCTCTCAGTACAACCACTCACACACACCCGCTACATCAGTTTGAAATCAGGAAATCGTGAATGTATTTTTCTGACTGGCAGGTTTCCAGGGTCCCCAATGAACTAAAGACGTCTGTGCAAGTAGTCAAATCAATTGGTTAGCTGGTAGGTACTGAATCCCAGAGAATAATGTGTTATTAGGGTACCTAGCTGATGTCTCTGTTCACTTACAAACGAGGTTCTGACGGCTTGAAATCCAGTGCCACACCACGAAGAATGTGTCAAAACAAAGGTATGTGTGGAATAAAACCTGCACCGAGGCGAAGATTTTCGGTCTGTATTGCCGCTTCTGTGACAGTCATCTGTTACCGATTCAAATCGCAACTTACACCTCTGTGCCTTGGTCTCCTTCAGCTTTGCTCAGCAAGCTAGACAACTCACCCTTCGTGTCTCCCCTCTCCTCTCTGCCCCTCCCCTTAGGGTGTGATGCTGGAGGCCTTATCCTCTGGTCCTACACTGCCAGCTGTCGTCTAGGCTCTGCGGCATGTGGACCGGGTCCAGTCAGGTTGTCACGATCGCCTCCCTCTCCATACCTCTCCCGCGCGTCCCCAGACCCATCTCCTCCCGCTACACTCTCTGGCTCCACATCTCTCGTTGACTGCCACGTCAGTCCGCCACACACTAGACGCTCAGGACCTCTCACTGCTGTGGGACAGTTTGCCACCAGGCTGAGAAGACTAGATGAGTGTTTCTCACTCTCTTTCACTCCACGAGATATGTCCACCCTCCCTTTCTAATGACCATCCTTTTTAGACAGCTCATCTAGTCTCGTACTTATGTAGGTATAATGGTGAACACATTACATGACTTTTTGGCCTTCCTCTCGCGCTCCATCTCTCTCTCTCCTCTCCACACAACCTCTATTCTACCAGTGCGTAGGTTGGGTGGGGTTCAAATGTGTACAAGACCACACCCACCGTCACCACCATACAGGTCTGTCACAACGGTGAGTGTGGCGCTACCTACAGTCTCTGTGTGTGGTGCCTGTGAGAGAGCTGAGTACAACCGACACATCACGGAGGACTGGTATATCTCTTCAGACTGATATGAGAGATTTTATACAGCTGGCTCTAACTACGAAGATCGCAGGTGTTCGTGCCTAGCTAGCAGAGTCGTCGTGGTTCGCATCCCCCCACCCAGGGCAGTTCTTTTATTTATCTTGAGTTGGTGCTGGGTGTGGTTGTGTAGCTTTTGCCTTACAGTCTCATGTAATGTTTAGGTGGTGAAGTTCTGTCATACCAAGTTGATGGTTGTTTGTCTGCAGGAATTTGTGGAGGTACTAGAGACAGCATGTGAAAAGACAACTTGGACTCAAACTTCAGGTTTCCTTGCAGTTTTTCCTCCTTCCCCGCAATTGAGGTTTAATAATTGTCTCTTGTTGTACATAGACAAGTCACTGCCCCCCCCCCCCCCTGAGAGGAAGGGAAATGGGGTGGGTGGAGTTCGATGCGAGAGGGGAAAGAGCGTGGTGTGGTGAGTAGTCTAAAGAAAGGGCGTAGGTGGAAGGGAAGGGGAAGGGATAGGTATGAATGCGGTAGGAAGTCAACTCCTGTGCTTCATGCAGAGGCCCCCCGGCAGAACCAAAGGTATCTCAAATTTTTTTATCGCGAACGCGCTCAATTTATGTTCCAAAATACGTTTACAACAGAAGAGCTATCATTCAAGTTCTGTCATTGTACATCGAGACCTTCTACTACAAAACCCCGCAGAGACAAAGAAACTGCACTCTCGTGCAACAGCAATTTCATCATTCAAATCAACAATTCACACATTCATCAAACCTCATGCAAAAAACAACCCCATTCCTCATCAAAAACAAATTCATTCATTTCATCAACAATCAAAATCAAATCATTCAACAAACCATCAAATTCATCAAAAAAAAAAAATCAAAATTCAAAAATCATCACCCTATTTCAATCAAATCACACAACACTTTCAAAAACAACAACCACAACAAATTTCATTAAATTGTCTCGACAAAAACACAATAATTGTGAAAAACGGTGTGAAATAAAAAAAAATGGGAATTCTATATGCAGGCCTAACCTAACTAGATATAGTTATTGTTGCCTAAATTACCTGGCCACTCGACTCAGTTCTGCTTTTTGGCTTTCTTTGTCTCTCTCTGACAATGTTGTAGACAGGGTGGATGTAGACACCCCACAGTCCGAAACAAACCCGCATACACACCACCTGGCACATATGTTCACACACAAGGTACCAACTTTAAGGGTCCAATCATTTGAGTTGTGTCATCTTTGCGCCTATATAATTATATAGCTCATCAAAACAAGCATTCTTCCAGCAAATGATATGAATGCGTCTGACCCGAGAAATTTGCACACCTGCCTCTGCAACTTTGCTAACCACCAGAAAATAGTTAAGAACACAGGTAACCTGGGAAAGAGAGCTAACCATAGTGATAAGTGGTGCCCAGTGGTATGACTCGCTCATCCCAGTTGCTATGACTCCCAGGAGAAAACCGTCAAAGCCGTGGGTTATGAGGAACTTTCCTCTCTCGATTCCGCGACATATGTCCCTAGCCACACTCTCTGCTTGAACACCTGCCAAAGCCTGGCCTGAAGCCTTCACTATGGCGATCTCTTGTCCCAGCTCCCCTGTATAGAACAGGGGACCAAATAACACCAAATGCTTTTTTGTTAGATATTTCAACTCAACTACCTATAGTTTAAGCCTCACCTGTAGGCATGGAGTGTCGGTGTCAGCGGGAAGGACA